TTGTGCTTTTGAGGCGCCTCAAAAGCACTGCCAGAAGGTTGCCTTGGGGCCAACACCCCCGTCCCGCCAATCTTGTGCTTTTGAGGCGCCTCAAAAGCACTTCCAGTAGGTTGCCTTGGGGCCAACACCCCCGTCCCGCCAATCTTGTGCTTTTGAGGCGCCTCAAAAGCACTTCCAGTAGGTTGCCTTGGGGCCAACACCCCCGTCCCGCCAATCTTGTGCTTTTGAGGCGCCTCAAAAGCACTTCCAGTAGGTTGCCTTGGGGCCAACACCCCCGTCCCGCCAATCTTGTGCTTTTGAGGCGCCTCAAAAGAACTTCCAGTAGGTTGCCTTGGGGCCAACACCCCCCGTCCCGCCAATCTTGTGCTTTTGAGGCGCCTCAAAAGCACTGCCAGAAGGTTGCCTTGGGGCCAACACCCCCGTCCCGCCAATCTTGTGCTTTTGAGGCGCCTCAAAAGCACTTCCAGTAGGTTGCCTTGGGGCCAACACCCCCGTCCCGCCAATCTTGTGCTTTTGAGGCGCCTCAAAAGAACTTCCAGTAGGTTGCCTTGGGGCCAACACCCCCCGTCCCGCCAATCTTGTGCTTTTGAGGCGCCTCAAAAGCACTGCCAGAAGGTTGCCTTGGGGCCAACACCCCCGTCCCGCCAATCTTGTGCTTTTGAGGCGCCTCAAAAGCACTTCCAGTAGGTTGCCTTGGGGCCAACACCCCCGTCCCGCCAATCTTGTGCTTTTGAGGCGCCTCAAAAGAACTTCCAGTAGGTTGCCTTGGGGCCAACACCCCCCGTCCCGCCAATCTTGTGCTTTTGAGGCGCCTCAAAAGCACTGCCAGAAGGTTGCCTTGGGGCCAACACCCCCGTCCCGCCAATCTTGTGCTTTTGAGGCGCCTCAAAAGCACTTCCAGTAGGTTGCCTTGGGGCCAACACCCCCGTCCCGCCAATCTTGTGCTTTTGAGGCGCCTCAAAAGAACTTCCAGTAGGTTGCCTTGGGGCCAACACCCCCCGTCCCGCCAATCTTGTGCTTTTGAGGCGCCTCAAAAGCACTGCCAGAAGGTTGCCTTGGGGCCAACACCCCCGTCCTGCCAATCTTGTGCTTTTGAGGCGCCTCAAAATCACTTCCAGTAGGTTGCCTTGGGGCCAACACCCCCCGTCCCGCCAACCTGTGCTTTTGAGGCGCCTCAAAAGCACTTCCAGTAGGTTGCCTTGGGGCCAACACCCCCCGTCCCGCCAATCTTGTGCTTTTGAGGCGCCTCAAAAGCACTTCCAGTAGGTTGCCTTGGGGCCAACACCCCCGTCCCGCCAATCTTGTGCTTTTGAGGCGCCTCAAAAGCACTTCCAGTAGGTTGCCTTGGGGCCAACACCCCCCGTCCCGCCAATCTTGTGCTTTTGAGGCGCCTCAAAAGCACTTCCAGTAGGTTGCCTTGGGGCCAACACCCCCCGTCCCGCCAATCTTGTGCTTTTGAGGCGCCTCAAAAGCACTTCCAGTAGGTTGCCTTGGGGCCAACACCCCCCGTCCCGCCAATCTTGTGCTTTTGAGGCGCCTCAAAATCACTTCCAGTAGGTTGCCTTGGGGCCAACACCCCCCGTCCCGCCAACCTGTGCTTTTGAGGCGCCTCAAAAGCACTTCCAGTAGGTTGCCTTGGGGCCAACACCCCCCGTCCCGCCAATCTTGTGCTTTTGAGGCGCCTCAAAAGCACTGCCAGTAGGTTGCCTTGGGGCCAACACCCCCCGTCCCGCCAATCTGTTCTCTGGCACACATCTCTCCCATCCCTCCTCCCCCCTTCCCCTCCTCCTCTCCCCCCTGTCCCCCCCCCTTCCCTCCCTTGCACTCCCCTTTCATTACCATGCCGCCTGGGTGTGCCTCATCAGGCGCCTTGGGGTTACCTTCCCAAGAAGAAGCTTCGACTCGCTGTGCCTGTTAAGATGGTGGGTGGAGTGAGAGTGGTGAGTGGGCCACACTCCGTTTTTATCGCTCCCCCTGCTGGTTTCCAGCTATACGTGAGAATTGCCTCTTATTGTAAACCCCAGCCCGCACTAGAGCCACCATGAGCACCACTCCCTCCTCTATCCACTCCCTGCTCCACTCCCCTCTCCCATCTCCATCCGCCAGGGCTTCCACCAGTTTGCCAGCATCGTTAACACCACCACCGCAGCTGCGTCCGATGAGGCCTCTGTCTCTGGCTTCGCAGTGGACGTCTTTCGAGCCGCAGCTAGCTCCCTCAAGCACCCATTGCTGCTCCCTATCCCCCTCGCTCCCCTCTTGTCCTCCCCTCATTCCCCCCCGCCAGGGCTTCCACCAGTTTGCCAGCATCGCTAACACCACCACGGCAGCTGCGTCCGACCAGGCGTCAATCTCTGGCTTCACAGTGGACGTCTTTCGAGCCGCAGCTAGCTCCCTCAAGTACCAGCTGCACTTTGAGTTTGTGCCATTTGGGAATGGCACCGCCAACCCCAGCTATGATGACATGCTGCAAGCCGTGGCGGATGAGGTGGGTGTTTGGGTGGGGAGGGGGGGAGGCGTGAGTGGGTGCGTGCGTGCTTGTGTGTCAGCCAACCCCACCTAGGACGACATGTTGCAAGCGGTGGCGGATAAGGTAGGCGGGAGCATAGCTGTGCTTGTGTGCTTGTTTGTTCCTTAAGCCAGCGCCCCCAAGTACCCGCTGTGCTGCGCTTTGAGTTTGTGCCATTTGGGAATGGGACCGCCAACCCCAGCTATGGTGACATGCTGCAAGCCGCGGCAGATAAGGTAGGTGTTGGGGTGGGGGGGTGTGTGGGGGAGGGGAGTGTTTGCCTGTTCCTGTGGTCGCCTCAGAGCCACACAGCTAGCGCCCGCAAGTACCCGCTGTGCTGCGCTTTGAGTTTGTGCCATTTGGGAATGGGACCGCCAACCCCAGCTATGATGACATGCTGCAAGCCGTGGCAGATAATGTAGGTGGGTGTTTGTGGGGAGAGGGGATAGGTGTTGTGTGTGTGCGTGAATGCGTGCGTGTGTGTGTGTGTGGCTGTGCATATGCGTGTGGCGAAAGTCTCCGAACCGTGAACCACTCCGAACTGCCCTGAACCCGTCTGAACCTCTCTGAACCGCTCTCGACGTCGCATGCAGGTGGTGGACGGCGCGGTTGGCGACATTGTAGTGACGAGCCATCGGGCGCACATTGTATCCTTCTCCTCCACCTTCATGGTGCGTGCTGCACTCCCCCTATCCTCACAATTATCACAATTCCCCACGGTTCCTCGAACGCCACACCCCCCGGGTATATGCTTTTGGCGATCGCATCCTTCTCCGCCTTCTTGGTCGGTGCTGCACTCCCTCTAGCCCTACACGCCCTCCAGTGCGTGTTTTTGAACCATCGGGAGCGCATTGGATCCTTCTCATCTACCTTTAAGGTGCGTGCTGCACTCCCCCTATCCTCGTGCTGCACTCCCCCTATCCTCGTGCTGCACTCCCCCTATCCCACAACTCCCACAATTCCTTTGTGCCCTTCTTCCCTTTCATGTGGGCGTGGGTCGTGATCGCCGCACTCCTCTTCGCCCTCGCCCTCGCCCTCCTCTTCCTCGAGCGCCGCAACAACTCGCTCTTCCTGCATCATGGAACAGAAGGGTTCTCTGGACTGGACGTCTTGAAACTTGAAAGCCACTCTGTCTATCTCTCCTCCCACTCTCCTCCCACCCACCACCTCCCAGTCCTCCAGTTTCTCCATGGTAACGCTAGCCCCTGAAGACTCCAACCCCTGGACGCCCTTCGTGCCCTTCACCCCCTTCATGTGGGCCCACTGCGCCCCCTGCCACTCCCCCCCCCCCCTCCCCCAGTCCTCCAGCCTGTCGATGGTGACACTTGCTCCCGAGGACTCCAACCCCTGGACGCCCTTCGTGCCCTTCACCCCCTTCATGTGGGCGTGGGTCGTGATCGCCGCCCTCCTCTTCGCCCTCGCCCTGCTCTTCCTCGAGCGCCGGAACAACTCGCTCTTTCTGCAGCACGACGGGGGGAGCGCCCACTGCGGCTCCTCCTTTCTCCAGGACCTGCTCCAGGCCCTTTGGTTCTCCTTCCAGACTTACTTTCTCGTGCCGGTGAACGTGCGGACGCTGCTCGCCCGGGTGATGGTGCTGGTTTGGTACTACGTGGTGCTGATCGTGACCACCTCTTATGTGGCGAACCTCACCTCGATGTACACCGTCAACCTGCTCACACCCCCTCTCCAGGTGCGTGCATTTTCCGTATGCGTTTTTCTTTCTTTCTTTTGTTTTTGTAATTTAATGCTGATGTTGGTTATTCAAACCTCGATATGCCTCATCCTGCTCGCCCCTCGTTTTTCCGTGTCTCTCTCTCTCTCTCTCTCTCCTCCTTCCCTCATATAATAAAAGTGTCCCCACCATATAGTGGTGTGCTTGCGTAATGGGAACATGGCAGATTGGTTTAATTCTGGAAAATTCCAGCTAGATAAAGTTAAGGTAACAAATCTACACCCAATTGGTGGAACCTCTTATACTGAATATGTAAATATGCAAGCACTGATGTTAGCACCTTCACGCGCACATCTCCCTCCCTTTCTCTATATGTGCGCATCGCAGTCGGTAGGCGAGGCAGTGATCCGAGGATCCACCATTGGTTACCAAGCGGGATCCTTCGTTCGCTCCTACCTGCTACAAATCGGCCTCAAAATTGTACGTGCTTTATAACTTCTGGTTTGGTACTAACCATATGTCTTGTACTTTAACAATATACTGGTTAATAACCAAATTTCCAACACGTCACCAATGTTTGGTACTTACCATATACTCGGTACTTCAACCATGATGTTTGTTTTAAACAAAATGTTTGCTAGGTTTGGCACCAACCACAAGTCCGGTCGTATGTCATAGGCTTTAAACTCAGAAAATTTTCTCGACTTACCTGGCGGTGGCCTTCACCAGCGAGGCTGGCTATACTGCAAAGTTTTCGTTGAGGAATTGAGGCCATAGCAGACCAGGCAACCTACATCGCCAACCAGTTTTCTTTTGAGTCGACTCAAAAGCAGGAATTGAGGCCATAGCAGACCAGGCAACCTACATCGCCAACCAGTTTTCTTTTGAGTCGACTCAAACAAAAGCAGGAATTGAGGCCATAGCAGACCAGGCAACCTACATCGCCAACCAGTTTTTCCGTGTGTTGCTTTTGAGTAAACTCAGAAGCTACCCCACATGTGGCTCCCCTCCCCTGCTCAACATGTCCCATCTTTATCTCTCACAGTCCCAACTCGTGGCTCTTAGCAATGAAACAGACTGCTACGAGGCTTGAAGAAGCAGGGAGGGTGGAGGCCATAGTGGACCAGACGCCCTGCATAGCGCAGTTCAGCAACCAGCTCTGCAACGTGCTCATGATAGAACGTGTTTCTGTCCCTCCATGCTCCCAAACCCTAAACTGTATACCCTAAACCTCTTGCAGTCTCAGCTGGTGGCCCTCAACAGCGAGGCAGACTACTACGAGGCGTTGACCACTGGAAAAGTGAACGCCATAGTGGACCAGGCGCCCTACATAGAGCAGTTCAGCAACCAGTACTGCAACGTGCTCATCACCGAGCAGAACCTCCGCAACATCTTCCTTGCCTTTGTGAGTAATCTGTGCTTTCATGGCGCCCTTGACGCACTCACGGCGCCCTTGACGCACTCACGGCGCCCTTGACGCACTCACGGCGCCCTTGACGCACTCACGGCGCCCTTGACGCACTCACGGCGCCCTTGACGCACTCACGGAGCCCTTGACGCACTCACGGCGCCTTTGACGCACTCACGGCGCCCTTGACGCACTCACGGCGCCCTTGACGCACTCACGGCGCCCTTGACGCACTCACGGCGCCCTTGACGCACTCACGGCGCCCTTGACGCACTCACGGCGCCCTTGACGCACTCACGGCGCCCTTGACGCACTCACAGCGCCCTTGACGCACTCACGGCGCCCTTGACGCGCCTCCAAGTCTACTCTGTAGGGTGCTGATTGCGCAACGTCCTCGTCACCGAGCAGAATCTCCGAAACGTCTTCGAGTGTAATGAGTCGATTTTTGAGTCGACTCAAAAATCGACTCATTACACTCGTCACCGAGCAGAATCTCCGAAGCATCTTCGTTGCCTTGGTAAGTAGTTGGTGGTGCTACGAGGCACCTCAACGTCTGTTTGCCGTGCCCCATTGCCTGGAGGTACGAAAAACGCGATTCGAGTAGAGCACTTGCTGAAGCGATCGTCGGAAGTCTGATGATTGAGAATTCACAAAAATCGCTTACGTTTTGATGTTTTTCGTGCCCCATTTCCTGGAGTGCTCGTCACCAAACAAAACCTCCGAAAGCATTCTGTGCTTTACACACGCCAAAGTATGTCGCATTTGTTTGACATAGCTTGCAACCATAGACTTGTACTTCCAATAAAAACCTGATTCTGTGTAGAGTTTTTTGCGGTAGTTGGCTGTTAATTACACAAGAATCCCAACCTCACCCAAATGTGATCATCCAAAATCCAAATCTCCAATCCACCAATGGTGATTCTTGACGACCCCCTTGAGGACTTTCCCTCTCAAAATGTTTAGGCTCCACAATTTTTTTAGGCTCCTGAAAAATCGTCCCTTGAGGATTTCCCCTGATCCCGCTCCCATCAATCTCAACCCATCTTGTGATGTGGGTACGGGCCTTGAGAAAATCTACTGAATTGATCTTCTAAGCCCTCAAACTCTTGCACTGTGATTCTTGGATTAGTATCGGGTCTGTTCCTCTACCCCTTAGTTGATCATGTTGCACTCTTTTTGAGGCGCCTCAACAACGGAGACTATTTTTGAGGCGCCTCATAAACTGAGACAATGTTTGAGGCGCCTCAAAAAATACTTTTACCCTGTGATTCTTGGATTATTATTAAGTGTGTTCCTCCACCCCTTAGTTTATCTCGTTTCCCTCTTTCCCGCCGCCCCTTACACCAGGCATTCCCCCTGGGGTCCCACCTGGCTGATGACGTGGCACATGCTGTTCTCCACGTGGCACAGAGTGGGCAGCTGCAGCGAATACGAGCTGACGCCTTCGAGGTGAGTGAGGGAGGAAGGGAGGGGAGACTAGAGGGAGTGAGGGGGTGAGGTTGGATGGAAAGAAAAGGGTTGGGAGCTGCAGCAAAAACGCGCTGATGCCTTCGAGCTGAGTGAGGGAAGAGAGGGAGAGGGGGCTTAGGTCGCTTTGCTTAGGTCGCTTTGCTTAGGTCGCTTTGCTTAGGTCGCTTTGCTTAGGTCGCTTTGCTTAGGTCGCTTTGCTTAGGTCACTTTGCTTAGGTCGCTTTGCTTAGGTCACTTTGCTTAGGTCGCTTTGCTTAGGTCGCTTTGCTTAGGTCGCTTTGCTTCGGTCACTTTGCTTAGGTCGCTTTGCTTAGGTCACTATGCTTAGGTCGCTTTGCTTATGTCGCTTTGCTTATGTCGCTTTGCTTAGGTCGCTTCGCTTTGCTTAGGTCGCTTAGCTGTGTGGTTGTCTGTACCTGCTTTGCTTGCCTTTGCCTTTGCTTTTGCCTTGCCTTTCCCCCCCCTCACCACCCCCTCACCACCCCCTCACCACCCCCTCACCACCCCCTCACCACCCCCTCACCACCCCCTCACCACCCCCTCACCACCCCCTCACCACCCCCTCACCACCCCCTCACCACCCCCTCACCACCCCCTCACCACCCCCTCACCACCCCCTCACCACCCCCTCACCACCCCCTCACCACCCCCTCACCACCCCCTCACCACCCCCCTCACCACCCCCTCACCACCCCCTCACCACCCCCTCACCACCCCCTCACCACCCCCTCACCACCCCCTCACCACCCCCTCACCACCCCCCTCACCACCCCCTCACCACCCCCTCACCACCCCCTCACCACCCCCTCACCACCCCCTCACCACCCCCTCACCACCCCCTCACCACCCCCTCACCACCCCCTCACCACCCCCTCACCACCCCCTCACCACCCCCTCACCACCCCCTCACCACCCCCTCACCACCCCCCTAACGACAGACGAATGGGACGTGCAACGCCGCATCAGCCTCTTCCCTTCAACTCGGCTTCCGCAGTTTCAGCGGCACTCTGCTTGTTTACCTGGAGGGTGTTTATGCCTTAGGCGCCCCAGACTCGCATCCCGTACTCCCCACCTCCCCATCTCCCCACCTCCCCATCTCCCCACCTCCCAATCTCCCCACCTCTCCTTCCCCCTTTTTCCCCCTTCCCCCCCACCCCCAACACCCCCCTAACGACAGACGAATGGCACGTGCAACGCCGCATCAGCAACATCCCTTCAACTCGGCTTCCGCAGTTTCAGTGGCACTCTGCTGGTGTACCTGGGGGTGTCGCTGGGGGCCTGCCTGCTTCTTGCTCTGGTCATCATAGTGCAAGGCGTGCGAGTGCACGTGAACATGTGAGTGTGCATGTGAACATGTGAGTGTGCACGTGAACATGTGAGCGTGCAAGTATGAATGTTGTGCGGTGTCAGCGGCACACTGCTGGTGCACCTGGGGGTGTCGCTGGGGTCGTGCCTGCTTCTTGCCATCATAATCATAGTGCAAGGCGTGCGAATGCACGTGAACATATGAGTGTGGAAGCATGACTGTTGCCCCAGAGGCACTCTGCTTTTGAGTCGACTCAAAAGCAGACTCAGCAGCACGCTGCTGGTGCATCTGGGGTGTCTCTGGGGGCATGCCTGCTTCTTGCCATCATCATCATAGTGCAAGGCGTGCGAGTGCACGTGAACATGTGAGTGTGCATGTGAACATGTGAGTGTGCATGTGAACATGTGAGCGGGCATGGGAACATGAGTGTGCATGGGAACACGTGAGTGTGCATGAGAGCATGTGAATGTGCATGTGAACATGCGAGTGTGCGTGTGAACATGTGAGTGTGCATGGGACCATGGCCCATGCACATGTGACCATGAGAGTACCTGGGGGTGTTGCGGGGTGTTGCCTGGTGCTGTTCCAATCATCATCATAGGCCAAGGCTTGTGAGTCCATGTGAACATGTGAGTGTCGGCGTGTGTGCATGCGAGTGTCGGCGTGTGTGCATGCAAGTGTCGGCGTGTGTGCATGCGAGTGTCGGCGTGTGTGCATGCGAGTGTCGGCGTGTGTGCATGCGAGTGTCGGCGTGTGTGCATGGGAGTGTCGGCGTGTGTGCATGCGAGTGTCGGCGTGTGTGCATGCGAGTGACAATGCATACGTGGCCATGAGAGTACCTCGAGGTGTCGCTGGGGGCATGTGAGAAGGAGCTTTCAGAACAGTATAAGGGGTGAGAGGGGACACTTCTCTTGCGTTGGTTTTTGAGGCGCCTCAAAAATAGACTCCTCATGTGAGAAGGAGCGTTAAGAACAGTATTGGGTCATCATACCCCAAGGTGTGTGAGTCCTTGTGAGAACATGTGAGTGTCTGCGTGTGTGCTTGTGAACATGTGAGTGTCTGCGTGTGTGGTTGTGAGTGATCCTGTAAGTATGCACCTGCCTGTGCTGTATTTCCTTACTGCCCTCTCACACTGTAATTCCTTTCTCCCTCTCACACTGTAATTCCTTACTGCCCTCTCACACTGTAATTCCTTTCTCCCTCTCACACTGTAATTCCTTACTGCCCTCTCACACTGTAATTCCTTTCTCCCTCTCACACTGTAATTCCTTACTGCCCTCTCACACTGTAATTCCTTTCTCCCTCTCACACTGTAATTCCTTACTGCCCTCTCACACTGTAATTCCTTTCTCCCTCTCACACTGTAATTCCTTACTGCCCTCTCACACTGTAATTCCTTTCTCCCTCTCACACTGTAATTCCTTACTGCCCTCTCACAATGTAATTCCTTTCTCCCTCTCACACTGTAATTCCTTACTGCCCTCTCACACTGTAATTCCTTTCTCCCTCTCACACTGTAATTCCTTTCTCCCTCTCACACCATTTTCAGGCGGGAAGCACAACAGAACCCCACATTTCCCACCACCGCAACAGCTGATGATAAGGGTGGGAAGGACTGGAAGGGTAGCAAAGATGGCACGTGCAAGAGACCAGAGATGGAGCCTCTAAACGGAGGTGACTGTAACGGGAAGCCAAGTGTTCCTAATGGTTCTTCTGACTCTAATAAGACAGGACTGAGGGTTAGTAAAGCCCTCCCTAGGAGCTTTGTCTTCGAGGGTTTGGTAGGGGAGGAGGGGTTGGAAATGTGGGAGGGAGGGAGCATAGCAGAGGAAGAAGAGGGAGAGGAGGAGGATGAGGTTGAAATACACCATCAGAAAATGACGCAGCAGCACCAGCAGCAGCACCAGCAGGTGAAGCAGCAGCATGCCTGCCGGCCAATCAAGCGGGAGGAAGTGAAGCAGCGGCCGTGGCGGCAGCGGCAGCAGCGGTGTTTGAAGGACGACGAGGAGATCGAAACAGAGGGTGTTGGCTCTGCTTTGCAGCAGCAGCAGCAGCAGGGGCGACGGAAGCAGCTTACAGTCTCATTCAAGCGCGCGGTGCAATTCAGCAGCAGGGGTGACACCGGCAGGGGGGACACAGGCAGGGGAGACACCGGCAGGGGTGACACCAAGAGGGGAGGCGAGGGCAGCTACAGCGACCGATCGTGGTCGGATTTGACCCGAGTGAAGATCCAGTTGCACCAGTCGTGGTCCGAGCTGGTCTCCATATTTAACGATGGCTCCACCATACTTTCCGGCCACTCGGCATCTGGTAGCAGCCCATTTTCTCGCCATAACACCGCCTCTGAAACCAGCCCGTTCACTCGCCACAAGACCATTTCCGGCCACTCTGCCACGGGCAGCAGCCCGTTCACTCGCCACAAGACCATTTCCGGCCACTCTGCCACGGGCAGCAGCCCGTTCACTCGCCACAACACCATGTCTGACAGCAGCCCTATATCTCTCTCACACCGGGCAGCATCCATCGGCCATATGCCCACTGCTTCCAGTTACTCTCTCCCGTCCCTCGGAAGCAGGGGGAGTCTCGGCAGTGTGCGGCGCAGCATTGGTGGTGCGGACCCCTCGTTGCCCCGCGCCTCCAGTGGGAGCGGCAATGGCAACAGCAACGTCAACATCAACATCAACGCCATCCGTGGGGGTGGTAACCATGCATTACACCGTGCAACCAGCAGCAGCAGCGTCATCAGGGGCTCTGATACCATGTCCGTGCGCCACGGAGCCATACCCAGCCCTGCCAGCCTCCCGAACCTACACAGGGTCGGGTCCGGAAGCGGCAGGTCCGGAGCAAGCAGCAGCTCCAGGATCGGCAACCCATCAACCACGGAAGCTCTAGGTTTGAGCCCAAGCCTAGCTGGCCAGTTCGGAACGCCGAACAGGGTAGGACTTTTAGTGACCATGAGCCCACATGGGGGCTCGTTAGGTGGTGGGGTTCTAGAGGAAGGACCGCGGCGCCGGTCCGTGCTAACTATTGACTTGAACGCTGATAATGACGACGATGCTAACAGAGAGGAGACATGGGCGGAAGCTCCAGAAGCGGGCGCTGGTAGATTTAAGGCCGGCCTGTCCCAGGCCAATCAGCAAGCGACACCTGGCAGGTCACCTGCACCGGCCGAGCCTGGCTTCCGAGGCTTGGTCCGAACCACAGCCATGGCGACGAGCACGAGCCAGATGGACCGGCAGGGTCGGGGGAAGGCCTGGCAGAAGAAGCTGAGGGAGCAGAGGGAGAGAGTAGCCGCGATGGGGACTTTCCACCACGATTTGCTTCAGCAGATGGCGGATCGGAACTCTCAAGTGATCGACAAACTCAAAGGGATGGGGAGGCAGATGCCGTACGGGGAGACGGTGGAGGAGGGGGGGGGTATGGGCGGTTTGAGAGCGGCGAGTAGTCGGTCGCTTGGGGACCATTCGGGGAGTAGTCGGTCACTCGGAGGGGTTTCTGTGGCTTCCGGGAGGAGAATGGTGCATGTGGCATCAGAACCATCCCGCGTGCTGGATTTGAGGTCTGTATTGGAAGAAGTAGTTAGTTAAAACGTACGAACCGTATTGGTGTGTCCACTGGTTTTGATTGAGGTGCCTCAAAAGCACTTGTGGTATCAGAGTGGGCTAGTGCGGTTCTTTCTGGCCACCATGCTCGTCATCATGGTTGAGGCGCCTTCATAAGTAAAAGGAAGCTGGAGTTTGACTCAACGACCTTTTGAGTAGACGGAAAAGAACGCGAACCCGTAGTAGTATGACTCAATGATCCAACCGCCATTCTCTCCCACCCCCCCACCATCAGAAGCAGCAGCTGCTGAATCTTGTCGTACATTCCTAGCAGCCCTCCAATACAGTATGCCCTTTTAGAAGTACCCCCAAGTCACTTCTGTCAAAATTTTAGAACTGCCATTCTCTCCCATTCTCCCACCATCGGCATCAGCTTCTGGTGCTTATCGTACATTCCTAGCAACAACCCTCCGATAGGTGTATGCGTTTTGAGTAAGCCTAGCCTGCCAGCCACTGGGTCGGTGATTCAGATCACCAATCTCCCGCAATCTCCCACCATCGAAAGCAGCAGCTGCTGAACCTAGGTGTCATACATTCCCAGCAGCCGTCCTGTAACTTTTGAGTCGACTCAGAAATCACCCCGTCCTGTACGCCGTTTGAGTGGGAACAACATGGCACTTCTGCCGATCATTCAACCGCCATCCTCTCCCACCCCCCCACCATCGGCAGCAGCTGCTGAACCTTGTCGTACATTCCCAGCAGCCCTCCTGTATGCACAAACAAAACTCGCCGCGCGGCCCACTCCCCTGGATTCTGCCTCATCTCCTGAAGCAGTCCTCTGAGGGCCTTACCACTGTGGGATGGGAGGGGGGAATGGGGGAGGAGAGGGGAACAGGGGTTAGGAGGGAGAGGGGGAGGAGAGGGAGAGGGCAGAAATGGACTGGAGCTGGGAGGAATGAACGCTGACTGGATTCTGCCTCATCTCCTGTAGCAGCCCTCTGCCTTGTGGGATGGGGGATGGGGGAGAGGGAGAGGGAGAGAAAGAAGGATGCCATATAATTGCAGTCAACACGTCGACACGTTCAAGAGCAATAGACTCATGGGTGAAGAGGTACTTCACATGTAGGCACATACCTATAGACTGGGTCTAGCACGATGCCTGTGGATTGAGCCACAGACTGCACCAGCTGGAGCTCCTCTTCGGTGCTCATAGCGTAGCCTGCTCCCTTCACCTACACACACAAGTACAGACACACATGCACGCACATACAGGCATACGGGAGAAACCAACACGCGGATTGCCCCATCTGTGCTTCGTTCATCCAGCCGCGGACTGCACCAGCTGGAGCTCCTCTTCGGTGCTTATAGCATAGCCTGCTCCCTTCACCTATACACACACAACACAGGTATATGGGAGGGTCAATAGCGTTCTGGCATCACAGCGCCATGGACTGAACCAGCCAAGCTCCTCATCAATGTTTATAGCGTACCCTGCTCCCCTCACCTGCCCCCTTCACCTGCTCCCTTCACCTGCTCCCTTCACCTGCACACAAGCAGAAAGAGAAATACATGCATATCGGATAAGTCAACACAAGCACTGGCATCACAGCTCAATAGACTGAACCAGCTGGAGCTCGTCCTCTGTGCTGATGGCGTACCCTGCTCCCTTCACCTGCTCCCTTCACGTGCTCCCATCACCATCACCAGAAAAGGCATGGACATGCCTTCTTCTTCTGTACCTTCTCACGGCAAAGAAGTACTCTCTACAGACATGCGCGTAGAAAGTGGGAGAATTGCACAGCACTTCTTATGACGCTCCTCAGAAGTGCAGAGCAGGAGGCTAAAAATCAACATTGCGCTCCAGGCTCCGATCTACAGCCATCTATCAGCCGCGCACCGAATAGGTATCTCCTTATGGAGGACAGGTGAGAGGAAGCGAGAGAGTCATAGAGGCTCACATCAACAACTCGCAGCAGGTCCCTTGACACAACGCTCCCAGGCTTGGAGGTTACTCCGTCCAGCAGCCCTTGGATGTAGTCGTAGAAATAGCCGGGGTTGTCGCACACAGAGTACGCATGGACTCGGGAAGCAAGCGTGCTCAGATGCACGCCCAGAGCCAGCCCTGCTGATGTGCCACCGCTGGGGGTGTTGAGAAGAGAGGGGAGGGAAGACGTGGAGGGGAGTGTTAGTGTGACGCTTGCATGATAGAAATAGCCGGGATTGTCGCACACAGAATCAGCGTGCACGTGAGCAGATAGTGGGCTCAGATGCACCCCCAGCGCCAGCCCTGCTGACTTGCCGCACACAGAGAAGATATAGGGCAAATCCCTGCGTCGTGTCATCCCGTGGATGACACCCGAATTCGCCTGTAAGCTAGGTTCGGCCGAACCTAGCTCAGGGGCGAATTCGGGTGTCATCTGTGGGATGACACGACGCAGGAATTTGCCCATAGACTTGGCTTTTGAGTCGACTCGAAAGAGGAAAAAAGGGGGTTTGGGGGGAGAAGGAGGCCAGGGGCCCATGGAAAAGAAGGTGCTGAAAGAGCAGGATTGCGGCAGAAGTCGTCAGACGAAGAAGGTGCTGAAAGAGCAGGATTGCGGCACACAGAGAAGTCAGACGAAGAAGGTACACACAGAGAAGACTCTTGAGGCGCCTCAGAAGTCGTCTCCTTTTCCGCGGTTTTGAGGCGCCTCAAAAGAGCAGGATTGCGGCACACAGAGAATATATGGACTCGGACTAGGGTAGAGAATGCCAACTCTCACCTGCCAATGATGCCATGGCAGTGTTAGTTTTTTTAGAACTCTCAAAAGAGAATTCTAAAAAAACTAACTCAGCAGTGCTGTCAAACCCAGAAGCCCCAGTCGTCGCCTCGTAGACGCTTTTGAAGGTGCTGTACCAGGACATACATACCCCCCCCCCCCCCCTCCTCCCATATTTCCCCCCCATCGTTTTCCTCGCCTCATGAAAAAAACCACCTGCCACATGCCATGGCAATGTCGTCAAATCCAGGGGCACCTCCCCCCCCCTCCTCTGCTTTCACATACATGCACAAATGCACTCCAAGACCCAAACACTCACCTGCCACGTGCCATGGCAATGTCGTCAAACCCAGGGGCACCTCCTGCTGCTCCTCTGCTCGACTGCACACACATGCCTGCAACAACTCACGCTGCATACACCCCCCTCCCCCAGTCCCCCCTTCCCCTTAGCACCCACCTGCCACATGCCATGGCAATGTCGTCAAACCCAGGGGCGCCTCCCCCCTCTCCTCTGCGCAGCTGCTGTTCGATCTCCCTCACTGCCTCCACGTAGCCCCTGGTGGCATGGTGGTAACATGGTAACATGGTAACAGGGTAGTAACATGATGGTAACACGGTAATAGGGTGGTAACATGGTAACAGGGTAGTAACAGAGATTGCATGCTCGATCAAACCTCCTCTGCTCAGCTGCTGCTCGAACTCTCTCACTGCCTCCATGTAGCCCCTGGGAGGATGGGAATGGTAACGTGGTAACATGGTAACGTGGTAACATGGTAACATGGTAACATGGTGACATGGTAACATGGTAACATGGTAATGGTGATAACACGCACCTCCCACCGTGTGCCCCATACACAGTCTGCATTCCGTATAACGTAAAGAGCGTGCATCACTCATCATGTGCCAATGCCAAGAGCGTTGGAGCAATGGTGGTGGTGGTAACATGATAACAATGGGGGGGGTGACTGAAGGTAGGGAATGGTGATAACACGCACCTCTCTCTCACCTCACGCCCCGTACACACTCCGGCTACAGTGGAGTCATTCTTTAGAATTCTCAAAAATACACACTCCGCATTCCATATAACATAAAGAGCGGGCATCACTCACCATGTGCCATGCCATACACAAAATATTCCGTATAATGAAGAGATCGTCTTTCACTTACCATGTGCCAAGAGCGTTCGACCCCCCAACAGGGATGACATAAGGCTTTCTTCCCTCTGCTGACAGCCTTGCGGCGAGCACCTTCCCCAGATGCTGCAAGGTAGGGGCGGGGGGGGGGAAGATAGAAGGAGTCAGTTTCCATGATGGTAGGAATGAGCACTGAGCCACCCCCAAAGGGGATGACATACGGCTTCCTTCCATCTGCTGACAGCCGTGTGGCGAGCATCTTCCCCAGGTGCAGCACAGAGGGGGGGGGTAAAAAGAGGCATGTTTGAGCACTGGTCATCCCAACAGGAATGACATACGGCTTCCTTCCCTCTGCTTATAGCCGTTCAGCAAGCACCTTCCCCAGGTGCTGCACGGTTGGGGGAATACGGGAGAGGGGTGATTGTGAGGGGGGGTACAAGGAGTCAATTTTCATGATGGTATATCACCACCAGTACTTGCTTTAGTTGTCAGAAAAGCTAATCTAGACAAGGGAGCAGCAGCAGGGATGGCAAGCCAGCTGTCCTCCTCTCTGTAGGTGATAGGAGTCTAGTTTTGAGGCGCCTCAAAACCAGCTGTCCTCCTCTCTGCAGGTGAATCGTTAAAGTTCTTAAGGATGAATCACCTACAGCAAGCATAGTTTTGAGGCGCCTCAAAACTAGTTCTTAAGGATGAATCACCTACAGCAAGCATAGTTTTGAGGCGCCTCAAAACTAGTTCTTAAGGATGAATCACCTACAGCAAGCATAGTTTTGAGGCGCCTCAAAACTAGTTCTTAAGGATGAATCACCTACAGCAAGCAGGAACGCCACCTCTGCTTCCTTCTTCTGATGTCCAGAAAGCTCCCTCATCTAGCTACCATGCTTGGCGTATTCCTCTATTGAAATCAGATGCACCTTCGCCCCCACCACGTGCTGTTGACGTGCACACACATGCTCCCACACTCCCCCACACGCCCACACACACACCCACACCCTCTCCCTCTCCCTCCACCTCACCTCGCTACCATGCCTGGCGTATTCCTCTTTTGTAATCAGATGCACCTTCGCCCCCACCATGCACTGTTGACTTGACATGCATACACACACCCTAACACTCTCCCCCCTCCTTTCCCCCTCACCTCGCTGCCATGCTTGGCGTATTCCTCTTTTGTAACCAGATGCACCCTCGCCCCCACCATGCGCTCCACCAGCAGGTTGCCCTCCAGCCCTGGATCGCTGTCAGCAAGAGCCTGGCCAGGAGGCAAGAACGAAGGAAAACCGAGGAGGGGATTACAGGTAAGCGTGCACCCTCGCCCCCACCATGCACTCCACAAGCAGGTTGCCCTCCAGCCGTGGATCACTGTCAGCAAGAGCCTGGCAGGGAGGCAAGAAGAAGAGGACGAGGGAAGGAATCGGAATTACCAAGGGAACAAAACAATGAATGCAGCAAGCAGTCGGCTCTGATGCACCCTCGCCCCCACCATGCGCTCCACAAGCAGATTGCACCCCAGCCCTCCACAAGCAGATTGCCCCCCAGCCCTCCACAAGCAGATTGCCCCCAGCCCTGGATCGCTGTCAGCAAGTGCCAGGGGAGGACAGATATAAGGAATGGCGAAGGGCTGAGAAACAATGCCACCTTATTACCAAGCATGGACGAGGATAAATAGGGGAAGCGAAGAAAACGAGAGAAAGGGGAGAGGTTTTCAATGCACCTTCACCCCACAATTCGCTCCACCAGCCATACCGCAACATGCCATGCCATGCCATGTCATGCCATCCCACCAAACCCACCCCATCCCACCCCTCCCGACCCTGCCCTACTCCACCACACCCCACCCATCCCAAACCACCCCACCCATCCAGCCAGCCCACCCCACCTCCTTAGAATAAGGTGTGTCTCGGGCCCGGCTATTTGTGCCCTGTCATGCCATGCCATTCCACCCCATTCCACCCCATCCCACCCCATCCCACCCCATCCCACTCCATCCCACCCCATCCCACCCCGTCCCACACCACCCCACCCATGATCCATCCCGTCCCTGCCAGCCATCTCACCCTGCTCGTCCTCAGGATAAGGTGCGCCTCAAGCCCGGCCAATCGCGCGGCGACAGCTGTCGCGCGGCAATGATTGCTCTGGATGCCACCGATGGTGATGAGCGTGTCTGCTCCCTTGGCGAGGGCATCAGCGAGGAGAAACTCCAGCTTGCGCACCTGATGGTGGTGGTGGTGGAAATTGTGATAATAACGAACAGTAATGATGTGATGGCGGTGGGAGGTGGGGATTGTAGCAGTGCTCTGAATGCGGCTCATGGTGATGAGCGTGTCTGCTCCCTTGGCGAGGTGGTGGGATTTGTGATAATAATGAATTTGTAATGATGGCGGTGGGAGGTGGGGATTGTAACAGTGCTCTGAACGCAGCTGATGGTGATGAGCGTGTCTGCTCCCTTGGAGAGGGCGTCAGCGAGGAGGAACTCCAGCTTGCGCACCTGATGGTGGTGGTGGGATTGTATGCGGTCGTGACAGAAATGGATGTGACTGTTGTCAACATGTTCCCCTCACCTGGTTGCCGCTGAGCTACATTCCAGAGAGGCGTTATCCCCATGAGCCTCCCTTCCCCCCCATCCCCTTCTATTTACCCTATCATCCTCCTTCTAGCCTATCAGCCTCCCGGTACGCCCCCTCTTTCTCCTCGGCATTGTCTCTCCCCCCATCCCCCTCACCTTGTTGCCGCTGAGCTCCATTCCGGAGAGGTCATCCCTCTGCGGAGGAAAGGGGAAGAGCGGGCGAAGAGCACAATTGAATGCAATAGGAATGTACTTTGCAGGTGTTAGCCTCGAGGTATACCACCATCGATATGCCATTTTTCAGGAACAAAATACTGGTTTCCCATAACATGGGTAAGAAGGGCTCATAACATGGGTAACTACTTTCGAAACCCCTGCACAGCCTTCCCTACTACACCACTTTCGCAACTTCCCCGAACCACTTCAAGACGCCCCGTTTCCTCAGCCCCCAGCCCAATATTTTCACGAGTGGAGAATCGTTTAACCCTGCGCAACCCGTCAGGGTTCCGTAAATTGCTTGCCTTGATATAGAGCTCTGCGCCGGGTGGGAGATCCGGACTGTCCCACCAAGAACCCCACCAAGAATTGCTTGTCTTCCCTACTTAAATTCCCCACATCACCCCCTCTCCGCCCTCTTCTGTCTAAAGAATTCCTCTTGCCTTGATATAGAGCTCTGTGCCAGTTGGGAGATCTGGGATGTCCCACCGATGAATAGGCGTGGGTCGCTGAAACAGAGGACGTGAGGGGAGGTTAGAATGTCACAAGTGTTGGGTAAGTTTGACTATTGTAACGTAAAGCTCTGTGCCGGGTGGCAGATCTGGGATGTTCCACCAATGAATAGGCATGGGTCGTTGAAACAGATGACGTGAGGGGAGGTCGGGGAGCCGCAGAGGAGAGGGAGGAAAGCGATGGTGAGTGTAATTATTGTGATGCACAGCTAGCTCTGTGCTGGGTGGTAGATCTGGGATTTTCGACTGATGAATAGGCGTGGCTCGTTGAAACAGAGGACGTGAGGGGAGGTTGGGGAGCCGCAGAGAGGGAGGAAAGTGCTGTGAGTGTAATTATCGAAATGCATGGCTAGCACCATGCCGGGTGGGAGATCTGGGATGTTCCACCGATGAATAGGCATGGGTTGCTGAAACAGAGGACGTGAGGGGAGGTCGGGGAGTTGCAGAGGAGAGGGAGGAGAGTGATGATGAGGTGAGTGTAATTATTGTAATGCATAGCTAGCACCGTGCTGGGTGGGAGATCTGGGATGTTTCACCGATGAATAGGCATGGGTCGTTGAAACAGAGGACGTGAGGGGAGGCCGGGGAGCCGCAGAGAGGGAGGAAAAGTGCTGTGAGTTTGATCATTGTAACGTAAAGCTCTGTGCCTGCCGGGTGGGAGATCTGGAATGTTACACCTATGAATGGGCGTGTGCCGCTGGAACAGGGATGCGGAACATTGAGGGGAAAAGGGACAGAACTCCCCAGTGGAACATCTTGTAGCTTATGGAATTTCTTCTTTGGGTGCGGGTCTCGTAGTATGTGAGGCCCGCTGAGGCAACGCTGCTAGATTAGATTGCTACGGGAGAGAGTCCATCCATACCTGCATTCCAGCCTCATACCGCACTACTTACATGCGTGAGGGTGAGAAACTGGGTGGTCAAGGGTTGTAGATGCGAGGCCCATTGAGACAGCAATGGCTGGAAGATTCCTTTACCTAGTCTCTCACTCATATGTGCGGGAGTGAGGAGCTGGGTGGGCAATGGTTTCAGATGCGAGGCCCATTGAGACTGCAATGGCTGGAAGATTCCTTTACCTAGTGTCACACTCACATGTGCGAGAGCGAGGAGCTGGGTGGGCAATGTTTTCAGATGCGAGGCACATTCGGGAGGACCGTGCGGCTGGAGCGACAAGTAGCCTGATCCTGCGAACTTCCTGCTCGTGCTTCCAGCCTCATAACACACAACTCACATGTGCGAGAGTGAGGAACTGGCTGGGCAATGGTTTCAGATGCGAGGCCCATTCCGGAGGATCGTACGGCTGGAGCGACAAGTAGCCCGATTCTGGAAACTTCTTTCTCGCGGATCCATCCTCGTTAAAGACGCCAGCGCTAGTAACAGCAGACTCCACGGTCTTGGAACCTGAGTTGGATGCCATGGCTCGCAGAATTCGGCTTCTAAAAGGCGTCGGAGAGAAGATTCTGGAAGCCCGGGAAGGGAGAAATTCCTTTGAGAAAGGCCTGAGAGGAGATTGGAATGATGACGGAGTATTGCACTTAGGGAACGAACGCTGAAGTCCTGCAGATTTGACGGGATGACTGGCGAATGTTGTCTGTGTGACGGGATGCCGATTCGCGGGAGTTGCTCCTAAAAGGGCTCGCTCAGGAGCTATAGCGGGTCGGTTCAAGCGGAAGTGCCATTGGGGTAAGGAAGAAACGCATACTGTGGTGCGCATTGCACCACTTTGAGATACTAGGGTACTCCACGGTCCAGAGGCGTCTTACCCAGTAATTACCGAGAATCAGCGTACTACACGGATGGAGATTTCAAGAGGTAGTTCAAGACTTCGGAAAGGGATCGATGAGTGAACAATTCTGGAGATTTGGAACGAATTAGTGCGCTGAACGCCCTCCGTAACCTGCAAGCTTACTGCTGGGAACATGGACATTCAGAATCTGACAGAAACCACTAGCTTTTGCTAGTGACATCAGGGAGGGTCCAAATAGTTCAATTGGGGGTTTTGACACGTTTTACGAACTCGGGTACGACAACTGAAAATGACCCCAGAATCGTTTCCTCCCCAAACCGCGTCTCATATTGCGAATGAATCAGAAGCTGGCGCCAACTGGGTGCGTCCCAAAAAACGGTTTGCGTTAGATGTCCAAAATCGCAGTTACCAAATGTCGCAGCTCACGAAACAGATGTTTCGTGCTGGGTTAAGTGGCAGGTGCGATTTGGCGTTGCGCCACGCGAGATGTTCGCGAGGTCGCCTTGGCGAAACCCCAAAGCGCCACACGTGTCCACCGATACCAAAACGTAAACCTAACGTCACGGAATGGCAAACAAATCTTGACTGAGGTTCATGTGCATTCACATGCGCCGAGCGTCCCGAGTTACGTCAACTTCGCGCACGTGTCCTCGCGAAATCCAAACGAGGTTGAATCGGGTTACTTTTTACGAAATGAATAGAGGATGAACTATTTAGACCCGCCCTAAGTACCGCAGCATTTCCCCGTGGCCTGCAAATCCCAAGGGGCTCTCGTTCATTGAATCTGCCACAAAACGAACATTTCGTACCTGATATGAGCATACGCCATTTTTAGAACCGAAAGCAGCGGAGCTGTAAAATCGTTGGTGATGGAGTCTCGCAGTGAAGTCTTGTCCCCTCTTCGCGCAGAACAAAGTAGCCTTCGTCAAAATCACAAAATCCACAAATTCCTCAATTTGCAGGCAATGTTCAGCGACATCCTCAACAAGACCCGAACACAATCCTCAATGCCCCTTCAGGGCGCCACGTGCCAGGCTGAATGTCGCGCCGATCACTCAAGTCCTGACACGTCAGAAAAGCAGTCAGGAATTTCGCAGACACAATCCGAAAAGTTTTCCGCCAGAGATCGTTTAGAGCTGGTTACCAATCATTTCGCTTTCACAGGAGAGAGCAAGCAGAGGGGAAACTGTGTCTGCTTGATGTTTCTCTTTGAAGCTCCAGTTCTGGTTGATTGATGCTTGGTTCAGTTCAGACTGATATTCCACCTATCAGATAGCACTCTGAAGTGTGGATTTCAGGAAAGTAAGGCTTCTCCCTCCAATTTTGGTTGCTTGTCATTCCTTAGTCAATCATGGCGGCCATTTCCGCGTCCCAAGCAGCTGTCTCTAGCTCAGTTGCTCTCAAGCACTGTGGATTCTCCTCGGGAGAGAGCTTTGGAGAGCAGTCTCTGGTGCTTAAGAACGCCGTCCAGCTCAAGAGCAAGAACCAAGTCGCTCTGCCATGCCGAGCTAGCGTCGCTTCAGGTTGACTATCCTCGACCATCCTTCACCATCCCTTCGCCAACTCCTTATTGCAGCCAAACAGCCCAGCATCTTAGAATCTCCGTCAGTAAAGACATTTTGTCTCGCTTCCTTTTTTCCCCCTTGCAGCATGTAGGTGCAGGTGCATATGCAAGGTTGTCCTTTTCTCATCATGTGAATTGATGCGATTGCAGAGACCGTGAGCTCTTCCGCTCCTGCGTCGACGGAGGACCCCCTGCTGCTGAGGGCTGTCAGGGGTGACAAGGTGGAGAGGCCTCCAGTCTGGCTCATGAGGCAGGCTGGCCGGTACATGAAGGTAAATGCCTTTTCCAACAAACCATACAAACTAATAAGATCAACTCAATGGCTTCCCCTCTCTTTCCATAGAACCATTGCTGACTATTCCGATGCTTTCTTTTACATTCAGGTGTACCAAGAGCTGTGCAAGAAGCACCCCACTTTCAGGGAGCGCTCTGAGAATGTTGACCTCTCCGTCGAGGTCTCTCTCCAGCCATGGAGGGCCTTCAAGCCAGACGGGGTAAGCATAGACATTGGCTCATTTTCCACAAGTTCCCGTTTACGCGATGATATTTCTGCCATGAAACTCCATGTTAGTGAACGTTCTCGGTGGGGGTTTTGCGTTGTGAACTTCCCATGGATGCAGGTTATCCTCTTCTCTGACATTCTGACGCCGCTGACCGGAATGAACATTCCGTTCGACATCGTTCCCACCAAGGGTCCGATCATCCATGACCCCGTGAGGACCGCCGCGGATGTCGCCAAGGTGCAGCCTCTGGACCCGGACACGGCGCTGCACTACGTCGGCGAGACCCTCCAGATTCTTCGCAAGGAGGTGAGAATCGTATCTTTGATTCGCATTCGAAAATCCAGGTGGCGGTTTATCTGGACTTCTTTCCTCGTCTCGTTCCCGCCCTCCCTCTCATCGTTCAACCAATCATTGAACGATGTTGTTAACTCTAAGCCACATCTTTGGACGCGTATACCTCGCCATCATCTCCATAGGGTACTCCCCGCGTGTATGCTCCGTTATGGTACTCAATAACCAGGAATATCAGCAATGTGAATATGGTCCCAGATAACCGGATGGTCACACAATGTGTTGACATAATGCAGTGAACCATGTGGTACAATGTTGCTTTGTTCAGATTGCAAAAGTGCGATGTTATTGAGGACGTTGGCCATATAGTTATTAGCTCTATCTTGACCCCCACTTTCCATCTCTCCCGCCACACTCCCGTTTAACCCGTTTCACCTTCAATTTTTTCCTACATCAACATAATCCGTGCTCCCTCCACGCAGGTCGCCAACCAGTCAACCGTCCTCGGTTTCGTGGGTGCTCCCTTCACCATGGCGTCGTACATCGTGGAGGGTGGCTCGTCCAAAAACTTCTCCATCATCAAAAGGATGGCATTCTCAACCCCAGAGGTGCGGCTTGTCAGCTTCTGATGAAGATTGCTGCAGGTATCTTTTTGGTGTGGGTATCTGCAGGGTTCTGAAGCTCGTGAAGTCCTCCCTGTTCCACGCATGGGATGTTTTTCCAGTACGAATGCCTTCCTGTTCTGGCAGTCTCGTTCATCTTGTGAGCCTTTCTGTGTTGTTCGTCCTTTCCATCCTCATCCCTCCCTGCAGGTGCTGCACGCGCTGCTTGCCAAGCTGGCGGAGTCCACTGTGCGCTACATGCGCTACCAGGCAGATAATGGTGCTCAGGCCGTGCAGATCTTCGATTCCTGGGCCACCAGCCTTTCCCCTTGTGGTATGCCCTTGTGCTCTCAGACAAGGCCGTGTAATGCTCTAATGCTCGTAGACCTTCAGTCAGTTAGCAGAATCTTGTCCTAGTTTGTATTCGTCAGCTCATTTCCCCAATCCCTCTTCAATGTCATGCGTGTGTGTGCTGTGTTTCGAATTCTATATCATGGCTTGACGTTTTCAATCGTGTGTGTGTGTGTGTGTGTGTGTAAATTGGCAGACTTTGAGGTCTTCAGTCTGCCGTACATCAAGCAGATTGTGGCCGAGGTCAAGTCCACCCACCCCAACCTGCCCATCATCCTCTACGCCAGCGGCAGCGGTGGCCTGCTGGAGCGCATGTCTAAGACTGGAGTCGATGTCGTCAGTGTGGATTGGACCGTTGACATGGCCGAGGCTCGGGAGAGGATCGGCAAGGACATTGCTGTGCAGGGCAACGTGGACCCGGCTATTCTGTTTGGTTCCAAGGAGACGATTACAGCGAGGATCCATGACACTGTGGCCAAGGCGGGCTCACACAAGCACATTCTCAACCTTGGGCATGGTGTCTTGATAGGCACTCCCGAGGAGAATGTGGAGCACTTCTTTTCAGAGGCGCTCAAGCTTAGGTACTAGTGCAGTCGAGAAAATTCATTGCACTTGATTTTGTTTCCATAATGAAATTTTGATTGTACCATTTAGAAGTGCTGTTGACTGATTTGGTGCTCTTGTTTTCCTTCGGTTCGAAATGATCTGGAGCGACAAGTCAGCGTCTCATAACGAGTACAACTAGCTATTTTTCGCTCCATTCACGGCCACCCTGGATTTTCCTCCACCGACCTGGTTCCTGCTGGTTCGCTCAGCTTTCCCTGGAACAACTTCGGCTGAATATTTCCAGGTTTAGTTTGTTCCAGCAAGGTTCCGTAAGTTCTCTCTGCGGTAAAAATGGTACAAAATGGAGCCTCGCTCGCAAAATCCGTAAGCTTCCGCGTCATGACACAATGACGACCTCCAGCCTATCGGATTCAGGCGACAAAGGAGGGGGGTACAGTACAGTAGGAGGGTTCAACTTTTCGAGTCCATCAAAGCTTCAAATTTTACAAATCAAATCCCACCCGCCGTCATTTTCTAGGAACAACCATCCACGTCAGCCATTGCAGCCATTATCTAGCTCAGGCTCTACTAGCACGATCTTTTCAGCCTGGCTTCCGAACTCTAGTCGCATTCTCTAGGTTAGAACTAGAGAGGACGGTGTAGTGGACAACAAACTTGATTCTTGGTCTGCGATCGCGCTTCCATACGCTTCAGAACGCCGGCAGTGCCTTTTCAGAGAGATTCACCTTCTTGGAGGCTGGTCTTCCGAAATACTCGGAAGGACCAGATGTAGTCTCCTTCCGTACGGTCCGCGCGCCGAATCAGCTATGCACCCTCTGCTTCCGATCGATTCCTCGACTTATCGGTCGATCAGGCGTCATGCGTCACGGCCTAGTCACCTCTGAACTCAGCTTCACTGTAGTGCCACGTGTGCCACGTGTACAATTGGACCTCCTCTTATGATTGGCTGTCTAGTTGATATGTAAGGGCGGAAAATCCGCTTTCACGCCTTTCCATGCTGCTGCAAGTGCACCTTCAAGGTACCCTTAGGGTGGATCACATCACATCAGACCAGTTAACCGTACCTAGAGAATTCCGCTGTCTCCTCTTATGATTGGGCTGTCTAGTTGAGATGCAAGGGCGGAACTCCGCTTCCTCGCCTTTCCATGCTGCTGCAAGTGCGCCTTCAAGCTACCCTTAGGTTCTCACATCCCGCCTTAGCTCCCCTCAGGGTATCACATCAGACCAATTCTCCGTACCAGGGAAAACCCGCCGCCTTGACATTACACGCCACTCTAGTTGGTCTCGTACGCGTTACAAAGAGTCCCGTTTGACTTGATAGGAAAAGAACGGACTCGCATCAATTGTACTCATGGGCGCGGTGCCTCCAGGTCTCGCCTTCATTCAGTACCTGCACCGGCGGCGCAGCTGTTGAGGGCGTAGCTCCGTCGGCGACACAGTTTCCGCTATTGCACCACTTCGCTACTGTCACATCCGCTCTTTGAGTCTTTGAGGCGCCCAATTGATCATCTGCACCAAGTGATCAATCATGGGCGCCGTGCCTCCAGGTCTCGCCTTAATTCAGTACCTGCACCGGCGGCGCAGCTCCCGCCATTACACCACTGCCACATTCACATCCGCTCCCTTCACCTTCTATGGCCAGCAGACCGCCGTCCTCGTTATAACCTTCCTCGCTTACGCGCTCTTCCACGCCACCCGGAAACCCCCCAGCATCGTTAAAGCCGTCCTGAACCCGTTGCCCGCGGCCGCTCCCCTCGCGTCCCCCTCGTTTCCCGCCGAAAATCCCGCCGCGATCCCCCCGCCTTCGTCCACGCAAGGGTTCCCGAGATCCCCGCCGCCAATTGCGGCGCATCCCCCGCCACCAATTGCGGCGCATCCCCCGCCGCCTGCGCCTCCTGGGAGAAAGAATCTAGAGGTCGGAGGTCTGGAGGGTAACTTAAGAACGATTGGAGTTAGTAGGGTCTATGAGGCCTATAGACAGCAGGCGCCGGAAGCAGGGTTTCACAACAGTATTGCGGAGAGTGGTGTTCCAAAGGGCTCTATGTATTGGGAGAGACGGCAGCAGGATTCTAACGAGGATAGAGTGCAACGAAGCTCAGGCGGAGGAGGGGAGGTGGACGGGGTTGATTCGGAAGGCTTAGGGGAGGACAGGAGCGCAATAGAAAGGCGGAAGCTGAAGCGGTTTGCTGGTCTATGGCGGAGGGAGCTACCTGTTATTGATGGGAGACGGGAGGTAGCCGGTGGTGATGGGAGAAGGGAGTTACCTGGTGGTGCTGCAATGAAACGGCAAGTCGCAGGAAAGAGCACCTTAGGGCCAGTGCAAACGTTTGGGGCCAACACCTCTTCTGCAGAGTCAGAGTCAGAGTCAGAGTCAGAGTCAACTGGCCCAGCAAACAACAGCATATCGGTCCAAGTGGGGAAGGTGGCGGACGCGGCTAAGGCAGCAGCGGGCGCAGCAGGTGCAGCAGTAACGGCAGGGGTAAACGCAGCCGAAGCGGCAGCAGGAGCAGCAGCAGGCGCAGCAGTAGACGCAGCAGGAGCAGCGGGAGTAGCAGCAGCAAGGGCATCAGCCGCCGCAGCTGGGATAGACTCCTCTAAGGGGCACCACTCGGGGCTGAATACATATGGTTGGCCGCCGTTCAATGGGACGAACGGCCAGGCTCTTCTAGGGGAGCTAGATGTAGCTTTTCTGGCTTCATATGCAGTTGGAATGTACGCGGCAGGTTCCTGCGGTGATAGAATGGATCTCCGGGTGTTTCTTTTCGTGGGTATGCTCGGGTCCGGCATCTTCACGTGCCTCTTTGGAGCGGGGTATTTCCAGAATATACACTCTGTGGAGTATTACCTCGTGGTGTCGGTGTTTGCCGGTGCATTCCAGTCGATAGGATGGCCGTGTGTAGTTGCTATCATGGCACGGTGGCACGGGAAGAAAGGCCGGGGGCTGGTCCTTGGCATGTGGAATGCACACACGTCCTTTGGGAATATCCTCGGCTCGTTATTAGCTGCTGCGTCTCTCGCTTCTGGCTGGGGCTGGGCGTTTGTCGCCCCCGGGATTGCGATCATCGTAGCGGGGTTTATCGTGCTACTGTTTCTGCCGCCCGGCCGGAAAATCTGGCGTTCGAGAGCCCGGATGTGGAGGAGGAGAAGGTGGTGGAAATGGCGATGGTGAGTGGGGGGGTGGTGGGAATTGGGGGGGAGAGAGTGAGTGTGGGGCCCGGGGGGGTGCTGTATAGTCCTGTGGGGACAAACGAAGGAGGAGGAGGAGGAGTGGGTGACGGTGGTGGTGGTAAGGCAAGTGGTGCTGGTGGGTCTGGTGCGGGGAGGAGTAGAGAGAGCAGTGCAGCAACTCGGGAGGGTAGTGAGCAGGAGTCAGCAGGAAAGGGGGGGGGAGAAGCCTCTTCAGGAAAAGCAACTTCAGGAGAAACTATAGGCGAAGCACTGGCAAAGGGAGGGGGAGGTAGGAGATCTAGTCCTCTAGGCGGGCGCGAGAGAGGGGCAGGAGTTAATAAAGGTGTGGCAGCAGCAGAAACGGGCTCAGCAGCAGCTGCAGCAGCAGCAGAAGCTCTGGTTAACCATGTGAGAAGGAGCCCAGAAAACCAAGCTCTACAAAACGGGACTTGCCATAACGAGGACGGAGCCAGATCTCCCCCGCCTAAGTTACACCTCCCCCCAAACCAGCAGCAGCAGCAGCAGCAGCAGCAGCAGCAGCAGAAAGACGTGTCAACCTATGATGACGACACCGCAGGGCTCTTAGAGGAGCTGGAGACAGCAGCAGGCTCTATAGCGAGTATGAACGCGAGAGGCAGGGGGGGCAGCAGCGGCGGTGAGGGGGGCGATCGGGCAGTGGGGTTTCTGGAGGCGTGGAGGATCCCTGGCGTGGCGGCGTTTGCCCTCTGCTTGTTCTTTGCCAAGTTGGTCGCTTATACGTTCCTCTACTGGCTTCCTTTCTTCATCAGCCGAACAGGTGGGTGTCAGTCATACCAGGTGGGTGTCAGACACACCAGGTGGGTGTCAGATGCTCCGGTGGGTAATAAACGTACCAGGTGGGTTCTTTATGGGGCGTCAACATCCAGGGATATGATCGGGCTGTGGGGTTTCTGGAGGCGTGGAGCACCCCTGGCATGGCGGCGTTTGCCCTCTGCTTGTTCTTCGCTAAATTGGTCGACTACACGTTCCTCTACAGGCTTTCCTTCTTCATCAGCCGAACGGGTGAGAGTTCCGACGAAACTAAGAGTTGTTACAGTACATCTGTCCTCCCGATTCCACTATTCTGGACCATACAAGGTACAAAAAAGGGGCGTTTCCCCCCTCTTTTCCCCCGTATGGTACGGTACCGAAATAAACGGGCATATAATACTGAATAAAACGGTGGATGGTGCACTTTTGGGGGTGGATTGTGAATTAAGTAGTAAATATTAATGCGGTCGTTTTTTTGGCTGAGAACATATTAAATCATGGGTGAAAAATACTCGCTCACGGCATGCTTAAGATGCAGAGGAGGGGGCGGTGGACTCAGCGACGAATAACCATGGGCAGCACGCCCATGGGCCGATTTTTGAGGCGCCTCAAAAATAACCATGGGCAGCACGCCCATGGGCTGGCCGCAGGGAGGCTGTCCTGTAATGCTCACTTAAAAAAAGCAAGAGGAGAAAAAGCCCCCCAAAGCTCAAACAAACAAAATGGCGTATTTTCCCCTAAAAGGCGGAAGAGTACGGTCGTATTATACGGCCTATATAATACGACTGCCGTACCCCTACTACCAGAGATCGAAGGCGATAACCTCTGAGATGCTTAATCTGGCAGACTGTCTACAGTCTTCGACATGGGGGGGCGTGATGGTCTCTGCTCTGCCCTTCGTGTCGGTGCGATAAACCTACACAATGCCCTTTTCCATACACCCGCACCAGAAATCGAGCGCCACTACCTCTCCGATTCTCAGTCCGGCACCATGCCTAGAAATCGAGGGTCATCCTCTCCGATGCTCAATCCGGCGTCATGTCAACAGCCTTGGAGGAGAGGGTGTAGTGATGGTCTCTGCCCCACTTGTTGTTGCGATAACCCCACACATCCATGTTCAATGCCCATCCCCATGTCCCCACCAGAAATCGAGGGTCATTACCTCTCCGATGCTCAATCTGGCGTCATGTCAACAACAGTCTTCGACGAGGGCGAAATCCCTTGTCCTTTGACTTGATGCATGTGTTCCTCCCCATGCGCATCCCCATGCCCATGCCCATCCCCATGCGCATCCCCATGCCCATCCCCATGCCCATCCCCATGCCCATCCCCATGCCCATCCCCATACCCACCCCATGCCCATGCCCATCCCCATGCGCATCCCCATGCGCATCCCCATGCGCATCCCCATGCGCATCCCCATGCCCATGCCCATGCCCATCCCCATGCGCATCCCCATGCCCATCCCCATGCCCATCCCCATGCCCATCCCCATACCCACCCCATGCCCATCCCCATGGCCATACCCCTGCTTCCACCAGAGATCGAGGGACACTATCTCTCCGATGCTCAATCCGGCGTCATGTCAACTGTTTTCGACGTGGGCGGCGTGGTGGGCGGCATTCTTGCCGGCCATTTCGCCGACCAAACCGCCGCCCGGGCCACCGTTTCGGCCTCTTTTCTCCTCCTTGCCGCCCCTGCTCTAGCCGCATATTTCCTCCTAGGGGGGATTTCTTTATGGGTGAATATCCTCCTTTTAGGCCTCTCTGGTGTGCTGGTTAACGGCCCATACGCGCTTATCACCTGTGCAGTGTCTGCCGATCTCGGGCAGCATAAAAGTTTGCAAGGGAATGCCCGAGCGCTGGCTACAGTAACGGCGATAATCGATGGGACGGGATCTGTGGGAGCGGCATTGGGACCGTTTATAACGGGGTTTATATCACAACTGGGAGGTGGGGAAGGAGGAGTGGGAGGAGGAGGAGGATTGAGTGGGTGGGGAGCGGTATTTGTGATGCTGGGGGTTTCACTGCTAGCTGCTGTGTTGTGCATAGCAGGGCTTGTAGTGGGGGAGGTTCGGGGGATGGTGGAGGGGAGAGGAGGTACGGCGGCGCCGCGGCAAAGTGTGGAGCAGGCTGCTTTGGAAAGAAGACCGCTGCGACTAGAAGAAGGTAATTTACCCAAGGAGAATGACTGTTAGACTAATGGGCCACTGAGTTGGGCAATCCGGCCGTAGTCTGTACGTGCCTCTTGTTTGGCGTTTGATTTTTTAGGCGCCTAGTAAATCGATGTATGTGCCTCTTGTTTGGCGTTTGATTTTTTAGGCGCCTAGTAAATCGATGTATGTGCCTCTTGTTTGGCTACCTGTCGTGTGTATGTGCACATTGTTTGGCGTTTGCTTTTTGAGGCGCCTAAGAAAGCGACGTATGCGCCTCTTGTTTGGCGTTTGCTTTTTGAGGCGCCTGAAAAAGCGACGTATGTGCCTCTTGTTTGGCGTTTGCTTTTTTAAGCGACGTATGTGCCTCTTGTTTGGGGTTTGCTTTTTGAGGCGCCTAAAAAAGCGACGTTTCTGCCTCTTGTTTGGCGTTTGCTTTTTGAGGCGCCTAAAAAAGCGACGTATGTGCCTCTTGTTTGGCGCTTGCTTTTTGAGGCGACGTATGTGCCTCTTGCTTGGCGTTTGATTTTTGAGGAGCCTAAAAAAGCGACGTTTGTGCCTCTTGTTTGGCGTTTGCTTTCTGAGGCGCCTAAAAAAGCGACGTATGTGCCTCTTGTTTGGCGTTTGCTTTTTGAGGCGCCTAAAGAAGCGACGTATGTGCCTCTTGTTTGGCGTTTGCCTGAGTACAACACTTGACAGGCTGTCACTTATTTGGTCGAAGCACGTATCATGTGTCGTGTATTGTGTCCCATGTGTCATGTGTCATGTGTCATGCTTTCTGTGTTGTGTGTCGTGTGTCAAGTGCCAAATGTCGTGTGTCGTGTGTCAAGTGCCAAGTGTCGTGTGTCGTGTGTCAAGTGCCAAGTGTCGTGTGTCAAGTACCAAGTGTCGTGTGTCGTGTGTCAAGTGCCATGCCAAGTGTCGTGTGTCAAGTGCCAAGTGTCGTGTGCCGTGTGTCAAGTGCCAAGTGTCGTGTGTCGTGTGTCAAGTGCCAAGTGTCGTGTGCCGTGTGTCAAGTGCCAAGTGTCGTGTGTCGTGTGTCAAGTGCCAAGTGTCGTGTACCAGTTACAGTATTTACATTATTTACAGCATTTACAGTACTTGCTCTGCTTGTAACTTACCCTCCTGCTTTACCCGCCTGCTTCTTTGTGCCCGAGCAGGCGGCTGACTGGTTGGTGGTGCTCCTACCCATGTTACAGACCCGTTACAGTCTGGCTCTCTGGTTATTGTTGGCGTTGCTGAGTCTACTCAAAACTAAATTACTATCATGCAGGAGCCTGGAGGTTGAGGGGTTGCTTGCTAGTGCTGCTTCCCATGTTACCACATGACCCGTTACAGTCTGGCTCTCTGGTTTTTGTAAGCATTGCTGTGCCTTAAAGCATAAAGAGCAGATGAACGAATCAGGTGTCTTGCACACGCGTTACAGACAGAGCGGCATGAAATTATTGGGTAGAACATTGGCAATTTGTGACTGAGGCACAATGGCAAATACCGGTACACACGCGCAGGCTCGCCCCGCCCTGCTTCGTTTGCTCCGTAACTTGCGGCACTGGTTACAGCATGACCCAACCAGTCACTCGTCGCCACATGTGCAGGCAGCACCACCATGCGAGTCTTGACTTGACATGACTTCTGCTGCAATCTTCCTCATCTGATCATCCATGGCTGAAATCGCTTGTAGCTAGAAGCTCCTGTGACCACAGTAGCACACAGCACGATTCGCCACCTGTTGCTGTTGGGATTGCGGCGTCTCACACCACGCCACCCCTGTCACTAGTTGTCCTCGGGACGCAGGTGATTTTTGAGCCGACTAAAAAATCACCTGAGGCTCATCCGACGATCCGCTGCTGAATCGCATGTCGCTAAAACTGTGGCCATAGGAGCGCACACCACGACACGACACGCCACCTGTCACCGTCGATACGTTTCACGGCGGCTTGCCACCTGTCATTCGTCGTCGTCGTCGGATGACCCATCGCTGAAATCGCTCTCAAAGTCGGACTCGTCCAGATCGAGCTGCAGAGGGGGCAGGGCGGGCGGGCGGGCGGGTGGGCGGGCAGGGTTGGAAGGCAGGGTAAGAAGGCGGGGCATTGAAACACAAGAAATCGTCATCGTCCGACGACCCACCGCTGAAATCACTCTCAAAGTCCGACTCGTCCAGATCAAGCTGCAAGGGGGGCAGCACAGGGGGGGGGGGTTAGAGGGAGCAAGGGGTGGGGTGGGGGGGGGGGGGGGAGCAATCACACTCGTGCCCTGAAACCCAACAAATCTTTGGCAATGTCAGAAGGGAAGACCCATCGCTGAAATCACTCGTGAGGAGTCTATTTTTGAGGCGCCTCAAAAATAGACCCATCGCTGAAATCACTTTCAAAGTCGGACGAGAGAGCGAACGGGGGGGGGGGGGGGGAGAGAGGGGAGGATGAGGAGGGAAAGGGTAGGGGGTGGAATGTGGAGGAAGGACAGATCATAAAATTGAGAATGGCCGAAGGGGGGTGAGACCACAAGAACAGTTAGGCTTCTACACGAACCCCTGCATCAAATCACGATAAATGGTAACAAATTAAATTAAGGTGCAAAAGGCCGGAGAGAAAAGGGCTGGAAGGGGGGGAGAGAGGAAGAACAGTTAGGCTTGTACATGAAAACAAAAATCGTCGCAAAACGAGGGAGTGTAAGGCTAGGATTTGTTCTGTTTTTGAGAATCCCCGAATAAATACATTAAACAACAAAAAAAAAAAAAAAAAAAAAAAAAAAAAAAAAAAAAAAAAAACGGCTGCATCAGAAGACCCATTGCTGTATTTGACTCGTACCTGCACGTGAGCCACTTAGAACGTCACTGGAGCAGCGGGAGGAGCAGGGGCAATGCGGCCAGAAGGGCCCTCATAGAACAAATCCCTACCTGCACGCGAGCCACTTGGAAGGTGCCTGGAGCCGCAGGAGCAGCAGGAGGAGGGGGCAAAACTGCAGCACTTGCACGCACTCCTGGCCCTGCTGCTGCCGCTGCCGCTGCTGCTGCCGCCGCTGCTGCTGCCGCTGCTCCTTCCTTCCCCGCTGCCCTTTCTTTAGCAGCTTCTGGCGCAGCTGCTGCGCGGATGGCACCTTCCCCAGGTCCCACCACCATGCCGGCCACAGCTGCCGCGGCCGCAGCAGGCACACCCGGGGGAGGTACACCTGCGGCACCACCTGGGAGGGGCACAGTAGACACGCCTGGCATGGGGAGGGGTATGGGGTCCCCAGGTCTCCACCCAGCCGGCATAAGGGGGAGTGCAGGTGTTGGTACGGCTGGGGGCAAACCAGCAGCAGCAGCTGCTGCTGCTGCTGCTGCTGTGTCTGCACCGGCAGCAGCATTTGCAGCAGCAGCAGCAGGAGGAGGAGGAGGGAGAGAGGGGAAGGTGGGGAGAGGATCCCCGGGTTTCCACCCGGGAGGGGGGGGAGGGAGCGGAAGGGGATCCCCTGGCTTCCATCCAGCAGGCATGGGTGGCGGCATACCTCCTCCTCCTCCTCCTCCTCCTGCTGCTGCTGCTGCTGCTGCTTCTGCGGTTGTTGCTGCTTTTCCTCCCGCTGCTGCTGCTGCAGCGGCGGCGGCAGCAGCAGCAGCAGCAAGGTCTGGGAAGGACGGGAGGGGGTCCCCAGGCTTCCAACCAGGAGGCGGGGGAGGCAGGCCGACAGGAAACGGCACTGCTGGCGCCCCTTTACCCCCAGCTGCCACCGCCGCCGCCGCCACCGCCGCTGCTGCTCCCACAGCAAAACCAGCTTCCCCAGCTTTCCCTGCTGCAGTAGCAGCACCAGCCGCCCCAGGCTCGGACAATCCCGAGGCTCGTTCAGATTCGATGTCTTTCCTGGGCTCCTTTCTGACAATCCCGATGGCCGCCTCATCCCCACAGTGGTACAGCAGAGACATCCTGAGCTGCTCGTCCTGGGGCGCGGGGGGGAGCGCGGCGAGGAGAGGCGCACCTAGGGCGTGTTCGGGAGGCGCGAAGGTGGTGTAGCTGATGCGGTGCGCGAATGCGACCAGCTGGCGGACGGAGACTGGCGCGACCTCGTCCCAGGGTAGAGGCTTGGAGGTCTGCTGCTGCTGCTGCTGCTGCTGCTGTTGCTGCTTTTCAGCAGGATTTCCGCCCTCACTTTTCTGCCTCTTCTGCTCGGCTTCCCCTCCAATTACTTCCTTCTGCCCAACAGCTGCCTCTTCCTTCTTCCTTTTCCCAGCCCCCCCACTCCCCTCCTCCCCATTGCCCCTACACCCCTCTGCTGTATCCTTCTCCGGCCCTACCTTCAACCCTCCTTTACCCTCTCCTCCCCTAATCTTGTTTTGAGGCGCCTCAAAGCTAGACTTCTCCACTCTCACTGTCAACCCTCCTTTACCTCCTCCTTCTCTGGCCCTAATCTTGAACCCCTTGTGTTCGTCCAATACGGCCAGCAGGAGCTGCTCGGCTTCTCTCGCCCTCCGCCCAAACTCCTTGAGCGCCTCGTTCGTGCGCCCAATCTCGTTTCTAATGGCTGCCTTCTGCTCCTCGATCCGCTGCAGGGAGGGAGGGGGAAGAGGGAGGGGGAGAGGAAAAGGTAAGGGGGGGGGGGGGGGGGGGGGGTAGAGAGAGCGCGGAGAGAGGGCGGAGAGAAAAACTTGAAGGAGATAAACTGTTTAAATATTGGCAGTCTTTTGCTCCTCGATTTGCTGGCGAGAGACAGCAGTGAGAGGGGAGAGAGAGCGCGGGCGGGAGGAGAGAGGGTGGAGAAAATAACTTAAAGCAAGAGACAAATTGTTTTTTTAGTATTCTCACAAAGGTAAATTGGTTGGCCTAAGTTTTTGAATATTGGCCGTCATTTGCTCGTCAATTCGCTGTCGTCACTCAGCTTGATTAACTACCCCTATGACCGACCTTAATTTCTATCAGCTCGGTCGAGGCTCCAGTCAGGAGCTCCTGCTGCTTCTGCAGGATCGTTAAGAGCTCGCCCGCCGATCGCGCCGCATTTGCCGCCGTGCGACCCGCCGCAACAGCCGCCGCTTCCGGCGGCATGACCGCGTTCGGAAGCAGCGGCGGAATCGCGGTGCGCTTCGAGAAGAACCCCATCCCTAGGTTATTCCCGCTCGATGCGCCGATACTCCCGCTTCCGCCTCCGCCGCCGCCGCCGTAGCTTCCGAAAGACGCGCCGCCGCCGGCACCGCCGCTTTGACCGCCGCTGTCCGCGGTCGCAGCGACGACTTGAACCATCTCTAGATAACGACGAGCGACGCCGGCCATTTCGAGGAGAAGCGACTCGGCGCGGCGCTTAGGGGGGAGATTGAGGAACGCATCTTCGAGGTAAGCGGGGGCTGGCGGGGGAGGCGGAAGATCGGCGGAAGGGATGGCGGAGGGGAAGGGGAAGGGGGAGGGGGAACGCGCGGAGGGGGAGAAGGGGAAGGAAGCTCGAGGGGTGGATGCGTAAGGCGAGGGAAGGGATCTATTGAACGCAGACTCCATAGTAAAGATCCCGTACCAGTCAGCAATTTTTTTACTAAAGCCACTCGGCGTAGGATCTGCGGCCTTCAGTTACCATACACTAGTTTTCGTATTGGGGAGGGAAGGGATCTATCGAATGCGGACTCCATAGTAACGAGTTTCTGGCGAATAAAGGCGAATATTAAATCGGTGATGGATTTAGACGTTCAGTTAGCACTCACGAGTTTTCGTCAGACCCTTCCCATACTTCACGCGCTACGCCAATAATAAGCGGCAAGGCTATTTAGGATGGCTTCCGTACGCACAGAGAGCAATCTCGATACTTCCGCTGTGCTCAGTAAGCCGAAATCGGCTACACCTCATTTTGCACGCTTGTTAGAGCACCTCCCCTTATTCATGTACCGCTTTCCTCTCGTTGCAGGAATAATATACCACTTTCCTCTCTTCATACTCACAACCCAGCATACAAATGACAACCAGGTTTTATTTACTGTCAGCGAGTCTCCTAGTGAAGGGGATAGCGAGAGGCAGAAACAAGCATGTGCCTGGTTTGGCCGGAGGAACGGACAGACGAGATGAGTCAGCAAGGTAACGAGCGAGTAACCGTCGTTCGTCGTTTTTCTCCTTACTGTTCCGTCCATGCTTCGTTTAGGGGGCGTTACACATCAGTTCTTATTCGCCACTGCGTTACGAAACTTTTTAAATGGATAAGCCAATAGCATCGTCCGCGAGTGCACCAGCTGAACGAAACCGCAGGACAGCTGACCGTCAGCGTCGTTGCGCGCAAAACCGAAGCAAACGCACAGCAGTTTCATCAGTCTCATTTTTTGCGCGCGATATATTGTCGGCGATGACGAACTCCTGTAACGAACCGAGCGCCTCTCGTCAACGAATCCGCAATGACTTTGCACTTCAAGCGAATTCTGAAACTGACAAACAATTCCGTGCAAGTCTCCGCGACGCGTAACAAAACAGTGGAGTGAAACGGGCGGGGGGGAGTGTGGGAGGAAAGAAAGCCCGCAAGAGGGGCTCGTGGGGCAGGGGGAGGGTTCTCCTTGTGTGGCATGGTGCCAAATGGCGGACTGTACAGTCCAGCGAGCGCGCGCCAAGCGAGCAAAATGCCTGCCTATGAGTGGGGCACTGGCGGGCGGCACACTACGAGTGGCGCAATGCGAGGGGATCACCTCGAGGGGCGTACGGGGCGCAAACTGGGAGTGCGCGCACGACGAGGGGCGCAAACGGCCTGGCTGGCAAAATGGCGATTCCTGTGAATGGCTGCCGCACTGCCGCTGCAATACTTGGCACGTGCGGCAGTTCAGCTGGCCCCTCCCCTCCCCTCCCCTTCCACCGCTCCCCCCCCCCCCCCCCTCTCCCTCTTTTCCTCCCCCCAAACCCCCAATCTCCTCGCGATCGCGATTCGCAAAGCCCCCAGCCGAGCCGAGCCCTTGTAGCCATCGCCCTTGTAACCCGACCCGAACCGATTCCTTCCCCCAATAGCCCCAGGAGTCGACCACCTTCGATTCGAGCCAAGTGAAGAGAGCTTCGAGAGTAGCCCCAGGTGGCCCCAATGGCGCCTCTCGTGTGCGTGCGCAGACGGCCTACAAATCAGGCAATCGTCATCGCGTCGTCGCATGCTTTGGTCGGCCAATCCTGCATGGCAATGCAACTGCAGCCGAAGGCGTGGAATAGGATCAGTAACGACAAGGTCAGCTGAAAGCAAGTTGAACGGAGGACGCGCGGAGCGGGGCTCGAAGTGAGGTCAAGCGGAGGACCGAGGAAGCGCCCCGCGACGAGAAGAATCGAGGATTACTGTACGGTACAGTAAGGCAGAGAAATGTGCAAGCAGCGAGATAATTCGTATTCCCTTCGCCGTCATTCTTTATAGAGACCCGTCTCAAATGCATCTCTACTTTCACGTCAGGACTCGAGGATCAGGTATCTCTCACCTGGGAGAGGTCTCTCCACATTAGCGGACTTGTTCTTACTAGCTCCTCCGCGTGTTGCACCGGAGTAGCTTACTCACTCCAGAATGAGGAAAGAGTAATATTAAAGGTCGAAGCCCTTCACACTCAAATTGCGCGCGAGTGAGAAAGCGCGAAAGCGGCAGTACTAGCTCTACTACTAGTCATCGCAGCCCTTTTTCGGGGGAGAAAAAACGACGCCTGACTCAGTTTAGTGTAAATATTCAGCGAACCGCCCGCCATGGGTTACTATTCACCTTCTCAAGCCGTTTTGAGTGCGCTGGAGCCAATCACAGTCGAGCCTGATATGGTCGAGCCAATCAGAGTCAAGCCCACGACAGCGGAGCCAATCGCGGTCGAGCCAATCACGGTCGACGTGTTCCCCGCGGTGTTTCTCGAGCGCGACTACGAGTTTCTGGGGGAAATTGGCAGCGGGCAGTACGGCAAGGTGTGGAGGTGCCGCTCGCGCCTCACCGGCCGGCAGTTCGCCTGCAAGCAGGTCAAGAAACGGTCGGCGCGGACGGCAGGGACGTCACGGTCGGGCCGCGGGCAGCAAGGACGGAAGGGCTCTGCGGCGCAGGGCGAGACGCGGGAGCAAACCGGCGGGAAACCCGGCGCGGATTGCGGGGAGAGTTCGGGAGGTGACGTGGACCCGATCGAGCGGGAAATTGCGGCGCTGACTCATCTCGAGGGTTGCGTCAGCGTGACGTCACTGCACGGCGTGTTCGAGGACGCGTCGTCGGTTTTCCTCCTTATGGACTTCTGCGATAGAGGCGACCTGTTCTCTCTAATTGCGGACACGGACGGGGTCCCGGAGGACGAAGCGCGCCAGCTGTTCGCTGACGTGGCACGCGCGGTGAAAGAGTGCCATAAGCGGGGCGTGCTACATCGAGACCTAAAGCCGGATAACGTCCTTCTTTCCCTTAGAGACTCCTCCTCCGCCTCCTCCGCCTCCTCCGCTCCTTCATTTCGCGGCTTCCGCGCCACGTCAGCCGCCGCCTCTTGCGGCGCAAACGCGGCGCCTCGCGAGCCGTCAGCAAGCCGCCGGCGCTACGATGTGAAGTTAGCGGATTTCGGCCTGTCGGTGATTCTAAAGGGGGGCGGGCGCGTGCGCGGATACGCGGGGAGCTTTCCGTATGAGGCGCCGGAAGTGGTGGGGTTGAAAGCATACAGTTTCGCGGCGGATATCTGGAGCATGGGCGTGCTTTTATACGCGTTATTGTCTGCGAACTGGCCCGAGTTTAGGAACCGCCAGGCGCTTAACGAGGAGACGGACTGGACTGGTGCGTCGTGGGACCAAGTGTCGGAGGAGGCGAAGGATCTCATCCGTAGGTTGCTGACGGTGGATCAAGATCGACGGCCCACGATCGACGACGTGCTGAGGCACCCGTGGCTGGCGCCCGCGACCCGCGTTGACCGCAGCGAAAGCGTTGACTCCGTTGACTGCCTGAAGGAAATCAAATCGAAGCAGAATCTATCGCTGCTCCCCCCGCTGCTTATCCCCTCGGAGTCTCTAGACTCGCGCGAGTCTACCTCCCTCGAGTCGGCTTCGTCTATTCCTTCGGAAGCTTCGTTTCTCTCCGCGCTTGCCGCTACGCCAGCCTCCCTCCCTACGCCTACTGCTCGTAATACTGCTGCTGCTGCAACTAATGCTACAGCTAGCACCGGGACATATCATACGGTCTATGAGGGGAGCGAAAAGCGGGGCGCGGGGAAACGATCCGCGGAGAAGAGGCCTGCGCCTGGCGGGGATTTTGGGCGGACGGGGAAGGGAAGCAGCGCAAACGGGCCCGCGGCGGGGGGGTTGCGCGGACGGCGGGCGGCATCGGGGGGATCGGCGGGGGTCCGCAGTAACTGCGCCAGCCGGGGGAGTAGCGCTTCGGAAACTCTTCCCGTTAGTGACAATATCGGGGTGAGGGAAGCGCGTGAGGCTTCGTGTGACTGTATGGAGGGTTGCGGACTGAAGGGGTGTAACCCTACGAAAGATAACCCGAAAAGCTCGTCGCATCAACTGCTAAGAAAACGAGGATCCGCGGGAAACGCGGAGGAAGGAGAAGAACCACGTGGACCAATCGTGAAAGAGGAGAGGCGGAGGTGCTTTTCGGAGCCAGCCGGACCAAGCGGGAATCACGGAGGAGAGAAGGCTAGTGCGAAGGACGAAAGCAGCAGCAGCGGCAGCCCGCGTCAATCACGGAATAAGGAGAACTATTTAAGAGGCTCTCCTCCAGCCAGAAGAGGGTCTTTTAAAGAGTACGCGGTTCAAGTGGTGTCAAGTCTACGATGGGGGAATACCAGCGGTAATTCCTGGCAACCCGGATGCTTCTGCTCGATCGCTCAACCCGTGGCTCCTGAAGCGGGCTGCGACGAACCCACCGATTCTCCCGCTGCCCCTTCTCCCGCGGTCATTATTTCTGCTGCATATTCCGCTGCCCCTTCCGCCGTGTCTTGCGGCGCTTCTCGTGCTGAAGACGTACCTACGGCTGTTGATTTTGGAGCTCCTAAAAGCGACACCACTGAAACCCCTAAAAGTAAAGAGAGCGCGGATATGGATGTTCTGCGCGCCATCGAGACCCATTTATCGGCGTTCTTTATGACGAAGCAGACTCGGAAGTGTGCCTGACAGTGTATTGGGACCTCTTCCTATACTGCACATTGTTTTTATCATTATGTTTACCATCTTTGTTTCAATTATCATACACATATTTCTTCTGAAATTCGCGCATTGCTGATTAAGATGAAAAATCAAGCGTAACATGAACGCATAAAAACAAATCATAAGCGTACTCCGCTAGTTACAAGACACAATAGCGTACCTTCTCTGAACTAACTAGTTCACTCCAGTCCAACTTCTCCCATTCACAAATCAAGTCCCCGTCACCACGTCTGCCATTGTCTGCACTCTTGTGGGTTGTTGCATCCTGCCTGTATGCCCAAGCTGTTGCTGCAACCTGCCTGTACGTGCAAGCTGTTGTTTCCACAACCTGCATGCTCATGCAAGCTTATTTTGAGACGCCTCGAAACTCAGACGCGTGCAGGCTTGAACTTGCACCCACTTTTTAACTGCCTTCCTGCTTACAGTTTCACTCAGCAGCAGGTGTACTGAGCAGCAGCAGGTGTACTGAGCAGCCGCAACAGCATACATGAAGATGCTGCTGTATAGTTGCATACGCAGCTGCGCTGCAGCATACATCTCCTTAACATCCCCTCCTCCCCCTGCATGCCCCTTCTGTCCCTGCTCTCTCTATTTCCTCTCCTTCCCCTGCCACTCATTCCCATCATCTCCACCTCTTCCTCCTTTCTAGTCATTGGGAGGGGGCAGGGAGGAGCCAACGCCCCCTTGCCGCTCTGATCCAAACACTCCAGACCACGCCCACAGCAGCAGCAGTATCAGCAGCAGTATCAGCAGCAGCATCATTCCCTCACTTAGTCGTTAGGAGGAGGCAGAGAAGAGACATTAACCCCTTGCTGCTCTGCCGCAGTCACTCCAGACCACGACCACAGCAGCAGGAGTATCAGGAGAACGACACCCACTATGGCGATAAGTGCTGCTACGAGCTGCCTGGCACTCATGCCCATCAGCACCACCGCTCCCCCCTCACTCCCCTCCCCCTCACACTCCCCGCCCTTTCCACCTCCGTCCTTTGATCTCGGCCGTTGCTTCTTCCTGTGCAATGACAGCTGCCAGCCAAACACCAGCCGTTGATTCTCGCCTGCATCGTCATCGTGGGTGTTTCCCCGCCGTTGATCTTCCTCCTCCTCGTCCTCCTCGGCTAATCGCTGCGCTGGCCAGTGGGCATTCATTTGAGCTACCTGACTTGTGTTCAGCTGCAAAAGGCCCTGGGGAAGGGAGGGGTGGAGAGATGGAAGAAGAGAGATGGGCCAGAAGAGGGAAGTAGCAGGTAAGGAACAAGCGCGTACGAAGATGGGGAGTCAAGGTTTCGAAAAAAAAAAGAGGCTGAAGCTGGACCAGGCAGGTTCCCTGAAGGAGGCAGGAGCCTGGAGTAGGTAGATTGAAGAAAAGAAAAACGGCGGAAATAATATAGCTGAAAAAGAAAAAAGAAAAAAAGCTAATAATATAGCTCACCAGCTCCATTTCGCCCATGTCCATGCGTCCATCAAGCAGCAGTCTCCCCGACCCCACCCTGTCCTTCTCCCCATACCCTGCTGCTCCTGCTGCTCCTGCCCCTCCTGCCCCTCCTGCTGCACCAGCACTCTCCCCGGGCCTCTGAATCTGCCTCAGCCAGTACACCAAGCACTGCCACGACGGCTGCTGCCGCCGCCGCTGCTGCTGCTGCCCCCACCACGCCCCCCTGCCTGTCCTGCCTGCCCCTCCCCCAAACAAAGGCGCGTGCTCCGAATCCGAGTGCTCCCGGCTCAACTGCGAACCACCCACATCGCTACCATATGTCTGAGCCCGAACGCCAGTCCCTTCGTTTCCAGCACTGTCACAAGCGCTATTGCCAGCGGCGCTCGGTTGTCTACTAGCCTCTGAGCCCGTTTGCAGTGAAGTAAGCGGGTTTATCACCTCCTCTTCCTCGTCCTCACTGAGCGAAACCCTAATCGCCTGCGGCCGGACCCGGAGCCAATCGTCGGCTGCCACGTCAGCGCCGCCGCTGCCGTCCAGAGCCCTTGTAGGGCTGCCGGCGATCCAGCGGCCGAAAGTAGAAACGGCGGAGGCGGAGGAAGAAAAGGCGGCTGCCGCTGCTTCCACTGCCGCACCTGCTGCCGCGCCTGCAGCCGCTGCTGCTGCAGCCGCAGCTCCAGCACCTGCCGTTCCGACAGCTTCCAATACCGCGGATTGGGAGATCGCTGGTCCTGCTGCTGCTGTTGCTGCTGCTGTTGCTGCTGTTGTTGCTGCTGTAACTGGGGGAGACGCGGACTTGACTAAGGCTGCGGGCGCCGAAGCTACTGCCGAAACTCGGTCGCTTTCTGCGATTTTGTCGGCCCGGCTACTGCTGCTGTTGCTGGTATTCCCACTCCTGCTGCTAGTGGAGCCACTGTCACTGCTGCTGCTAGTAGCGCCGCTGACACTGCTGCTGCTGGTAGCGCCGCTGACACTGCTGCTGCAAGTAGCGCCGCTGACACTGCTGCTGCTGGTAGAGGCAATTGTCATGAAACTGCTGGTGCTGCCGCCGCTGCTGCTTCTAGAGACAGCGACACGTGTCGGCGTGAGAAAGGCCACGAGGCGGCTGTCCAATGGGTGGCCATTGTCGCTGCTTACGCCAGCAACACGGAAAGGCGAAGGGCGGGATGGGGAAAGAGAAGTCGGGTCTCTATCCGTTCCACTAGCCGCAGCAGCTTCTGCTGCTACTGCTACTGCTGCTGCTGCTGCTGCTGCTGCTCGACTCGATGCGTTAGAAGCGGCGGCGGCTAAACCAGACGGAAAGGCAACTGTTATCCCTCCGGAATCTACGCCGCTAATCGCGCTGCTGGTTGCGCCCCACTCGCCGCTGCTCCCGTCCGAAGACCCGGAGACGATGGCGGAAGCTGCGGCGGGAGAAGCGGCGCCGATCGCGGGGCGGATGACGGCCTGCACCTGCTGCAGTTGCGCGCGAATCGCGGAGACAAACTGGCGGCGCCGTTCGCGGGTGTCGTTGACGCTGGAGGGCGCCTCGCCGAGCGCCGCGGCGCGCCACTCGTCGTCTCGCGCTGCTCGCTCGAAGGCCTCGAGCTGGTTGAAAGCGAGGGGAGGGGGGGATGGATAGTGCAAGTTTAAGCGAGGGTGCTTCGCCCAGGAGCGATGCTCGCCACTCGTCGTCTCGCGCCGTTCGCTTGAAGGCCTCGAGCTGGTTGAAAGCGAGGGGAGGGAAGAGGGAGGGAGAGGGGGAGAGTGTCGCACGCGCAGAGGGAGAGGGAGGGGGAGGTGGAGGGGGAGATGGAGGGGGAGAGGAAGGGGGAGAGGCAGGGGGAGGGGGAGGTGGAGGGGGAGAGGGAGGGGAAGGGGGGATGGGGCGCGGTTGCAAGAGCCTAAGGCCGCGCGCCACTCGTCGTCTCGCGCCGCCCGCTCGAAGGCCTCAAGCTGCATGGAAGAGGGGGGAGGGGAGGGAGAGGGGGAGAGGGAGGAGGGGGGGGGGGGTTGAGGGGAGGGTGTTACACGCGCAGAGCATCACCAGTCGCACGCCAGAAACGATAGAGAAGCGACGACCTACCTGCCATTTGAGGGTGTCACACGCGCAGACAATGACCTGTCGCACGCCAGAAACGATAAACGAGGCGATGCCCCCCCCTGCGATAGCGAAGCAGCGACCTACCTGCCATTTGAGAGTGTCGCACGCGCATAGCATGACCAGTCGCACGCCTTCCTCGTCCACTTGTTGATCAACGGTCACGACGACCACGTCCTCGTCGTCACCCGATCGCACGGGCCATATGGAGTCGCCGTCGTCGTCGTTGTCGGCCTGCGGGTAAGTTTGACGCGTTGCTGGTTCGTCTCCGCATTCCTGGCGCTGGAGGAGCAGCTGCCATTGGTGGAAGCTCGACTGAAGCCTGAAGAAAGCGAAGGGAAGGGAAATACGTGGATCACGAACACGCAAGTTCTGAGAAGAATTTCCTAAATATTTAGAGTATACAGGCTAAGAACAACGCGACGCAACATGTACACACTGCAGCAATTGGACGGACGGAAGATACGCGGATTTTTTTAACGAGTCGTTGCGACAGGATTTGCGACAGGACCGCCGGGAGACCTTGGGATGAGACTACCGGAGCATCAACGTGAGAGCCTAAGGTAGTTAGAGCGGAGTTAAGAGCTGACCTGTCAGCGGAGTCCTGGACCTCCTCAGCCGCTAGGAATAGCGGGTCGGCCTGCCACGAGTACAACGTGGCGACTACCATGGCTCGACTTCAGATGATCACGGTTACTAGCGAACCAAGCAATCTCACTAGAAAATAAAAACGTAAGTCGTCGCGAAAAGTACGTCGTCACGAAACTATGGCTTCTATAATAAAACCGAGGTGATGGAAAACCATAGAAGAGTCTCTGTCGAGTCAGCTTTCAAGAACTGGTCATGTCATGGGACATGAATCACTACTCACTGATCCTGGATAAATGGAGTGAGCTCAGGGAAAATGGAGCAGAAACAGAGAGACCTGGCTAGAAAAGAATGATGCCAGCAGTGCGGGAAACCATAGAAAACATGACGCCAGAGCCACTGTTATTGCGCCTAGAAGTTGCCGACAAATGGGAGGTGAGGTAAGGGAGCAGCAGGAGGGACGATCACGACAGGGCAGCGCAGCAACAGCCCCGCTCCTTATTGGGTAAAACCCGAGACGCTGCGGCGCCGAACCTACGGCCACACAATCCCGAGCCTGGTCGCGTTCCACCATCCCCTAGGCTGGTGGGTGGCGGTCATTTTACGGGAAGGGTTCGGCAGCATCTGCCCGTGGTGCTCTGTTTTGTGTTGGGGAGGGGGGGGGGGGGGGAGGGAGGGGGGGGGGGGGAAGAGGTGAGGGGTAGGGGGGAAGATGGGAGGGAGAGGGAGGCGGGGAAAGGGGGAACTTTTGCTTTGTCCAGCGGTCTGGAGACTGGAACGCGTTTGCCACACAATGCGGAGCGGAGAACGGCGGAAGTTACTCGAAATTGGCGGAAGAATGTCCGCCAACGAGGACAGTTGAGGCGAACGGTGGTGGTTTGCTGGCTTGTGTTTCGGTTCGGGCACTTCTCTGGGCAACTTGGAGCCACTTGCGGTTGGTGAAAGTATTTTTACGGCGACAACAAGACGGACGTGCGGGAATTTGACCCACCAAACCGTCAGGTCCAGCGTTAGTGAAAGCACAGCACAGCCACGATTGAGGTGTGGAAACACATTTGTTTGTGGTCTATGGCACTCGGCTTTACCCCGTTTAATTCGGACTTCGAGGTTCGGTGGAAACGCTAGGTTGTTTTGGCTGAATCCTTTCTCTCACTACAGGACCTTCCACCTCCAGACGTAGGCGGCGGTGGTATGTCTGGGCCTCTTGACGTTTGGGCTTGAGTGCTGGCACTGCAAAGCAGTACAGTAACAGCCGTCAACTTCTGGATGACGGGCAGTCATTTCACCTGCCAACTGGCTGCTGGATGTGGTGGTGACCTCGGGGCTGACGGTTGAGCTGGCAGTCTGACGTCGTTGACGAAAACCTCTGACATGTTCGGGCTTGTGAAAATCCGCCACCAGGGTCCCTCCATCCCATCCGCGGTGTGGTCATGCGCACAGAACTCAAGGCACAGAAAATGCAGTTCACCCTGCCATTTTCGAGTTTGTCCCGGAATCAGTGAAATTCGGTCAGGGCGATAGTGTACGAGTAGGTGTCGCTTCCCTAAAGTATTTGGTAGATTGAATGACATAGAAAATACATGAAACAGGGCAATTGCATGGAAAATCGGGGGAACTGGGTCAAAATCGCCACCTTTTAGAGGCCCAGACGCAGTACAGTTTCGCGGTTTTGGATTCGTCGTAGAGTTTCGTTCCGTCTTCACACCAAAGCCCTGCCGACATGCGACCAGCCACCGTCCACCTTGAGTTCCTGCTTGTCTCATGACGTCCTCTTGACAGGGGAATGCCTCAAACTCTAAGTTGTCGAAGAACAATCTCAAGAAGTCCTTGTTGCCAGTCAACACAACTTTAATTGAAATGACCAGCCTGACCAGGGCACAGCATATGAACAGCTCCATGAAACGCAACAAAACACATGGAATCCACATAAAATACAGCATTAAGCGTAAGCGCATACACTTCCAACCTTTCAAACCATTTTCGAATTGAGAAAACACATCCCTAGAACTGTTAAGCCACTTCTACGAATGTCTTAGTACCTTCTCCTCCACCGCTTCGCCTGCCATATCTCCACTCCAAGCACCACTACCCCTTTGTTCATCTGTCCATGAGCTGTCATACGCATCATCAAGCAGATACTCACGACCATACCTTCCACCATCTTTGCCCCAAAATCTAGACTTAGGGAAAGGACTTTGACTCGACCCTTCCCTATGCCTGCTGCCATCATATATTGTGCTTGAACCTTGTGTTTGTGTGTATTGAGCACTTTCTTCGTTACAAACGAAATCTACACTCTCCCGGCTGCAGTGACCACTGTAGCTCTCCCCGCTCTGGGCAATGTCAAGCGTGTGGCTGCCGGTGCGGGCGTGTCGAACCTCATCCCTAGGTTCGGCAGATGATCTGGGTGGCAACAGTGAGCGGTCAGACGGCTGGCGGGTAGATGCTTGCGAAGATGGGGAATTTGGAGTGTACAACGGTTGTGGGTGGGTGCTGTGAGCAGTGGAGGGGAGAGAGTGAGAGAGGGTGAGGAGAGGGGAGATTCCGGGGGGTGGCTGGTCCGCTGGATGATTCTGAGTGTGCAGGATTTGAGAGAGTGATGTGGATGAGTCTGAGTCGGGGTTAGACCCACCGGACGAGCAGGCAGGGATTTGAGCATTCTCAAGAGGCGGCTGTGACTGCCGTGACTGAGAGAGTGATCTGGTTGATTCAGAGTCGGACCCCCCAGGAGAAAGAGCTAAGTCCCCACTGCAAAACAGACAGGGGAGAGGGGGGAGAGGGGGGAGAGGGGGGAGAGGGGGGAGAGGAGGGAGAGGGGGGAGAGGAGGGAGAGGGGGGAGAGGGGGGAGAGGGGCAGTGGGGCAGTGGGTGCATGTGGTTGATTCGGAGTCGGAGCAGGCGGGAGAAAGAGCTAGGTCGCCAGTGCGAAACAGAAGGGATGAGGGGGGAGTCGGGGGAGACGGGGGAAGACGGGGGGAGACAGGGGGAGACGGGGCGAGACGGGGGGAGACGGGGGGAGACGGGGGGAGACGGGGGGAGACGGGGGGAGACGGGGGGAGACGGGGGGAGACGTGGGGAGACGGGGGGAGACGGGGGGAGACCGGGCAAGACGGGGGGAGACGGGGGGAGACAGGGCGAGACGGGGGGAGGGAGACGGGGGGAGACAGGGGGAGACGGGGGGGGACAGGGGGAGACAGGGGGAGACAGGGGGAGACGGGGGGAGACAGGGGGAGACGGGGGCAGATGGGGGAAGACAGGGGGAGACAGGGGGAGACAGGGGGAGACAGGGGGGACAGGGGGAGACAGGGGGAGACGGGGGGAGACAGGGGGAGACGGGGGGAGACAGGGGGAGACAGGGGGAGACAGGGGGAGACGGGGGGAGACGGGGGGAGGGAGACGGGGGGAGACAGGGGGGAGACGTGGTTGGTGGGGCGAGCAATGTAAAGAGGGTGAACAGAGGAGTAAGGTGTTTTTGAGAATCTCAAAAACACCCTGCAGAGGAGTAACACATCATTGGATACTTTTGAGTCCACTTGGAGGCTTTAGAGTCGACTCATTAAGAGGGTGAACAGAGGAGTAAACACATCATTGGATACTCATAAGCTGCTTGGCAAATGGCACTAGAGGGGCAATGAGGTGATTCGCCCTACATTTTGTAGGGCGTTTTTGAGAATTCTCAAAAGCACCCTTTGAGTCGGCTTCAAAACTCATACACCGCTCAGCTTAAGCATCTGGCACTAGGGGCAATGAGGTGAGTCGCTCCTTTCGCAGGGTGTTTTTTAGAATTCTCAAAAACACCCTTTGAGTCGGCTTGGATACTCATACACCGCCCAGCTTCAGCATATGGCACTAGAGGCGATGAGGTGATTCGCCCTTCAATAAATACTTTTGAGTCGCCTCAAAAGCTCCAGGTTATGGCAGTAGATGCAATAAAGCGATTCACCCTTCAATATAGACTGTTACCCGTACAATAGAAACCATCCCACCCACACACCCCTTTTGCTTGCCCGCACCTGTAGGCTGTAGCCCAGCCCTTGAAGCGACCCCCCCCCCCCATCCCCCCCCCCCTCCCATCACCCCATAAACCACATGTACCACGTATACCCCATGAACTACATGTACCACATATACCCCATAAACCACATGTACCACATACACCCCACCCGTCCTCACCTGTAGTCCTGCCCTTGAACTGTCATTCTCAATAATCTAGGCATGGGAGACCGCTCAGCCTCTGGCTCTGGCGGCAAAAGGCAATCCACCTTCCTCCCCTCTCCCCCTCCTTCCTCTCCCCTCCTCCGTTGTACCCATACACCCATCAGGTCTCACCTGTAGTCCAGCCCTTGAACTGTCATTCTTAATAATTTAGGCATGGAAGACCGTTCAGCCTCTGGCACCGGTGGCAAAAGGGCAATTCCGCCCATATTGTCTCCCAGGATTCCAGTATCCTCCTCTGCTGATGCGTATGAGGCAGGGGAGGCGGCAGCAGGGGAAGGTATATGTGGGGAGGGGTAGTGGGGGGGTGGGAACGGGGACACGTGGCGTCTGGGTGTGTGGTATGGGGAGGAGAGGGAGGGGGAGTGAGGGGAGGAGAGAGGGGCGGAGGAGTGGGGAGAGGAGAAGAGAGAGGGATGGGAGGGATGGGTGTGGGGGGGAGGGAGAGAGGAGAGAGGAGGGGTTTGTGCAGTGGGGCGAGTGTGGGGGGAGTGAGAAGTGGAGAGGAGCGATCGAGATGCTGAGGAAGAGGAGGAGGAGGAGGAGGAGGAGGAGGAGGAGGAGGAAGTAGAGAAGGAAAATGCAACGGCAGTGGCAGTGGTAGCAATGGTGGTGGTGGCGGTAGTGGTGGTGGTAGTTGCAGCGGTGGTGGTGGTGGTAGAGGTGGTAGCAGCAGCAGCAGCAGCTGCTGGGTTGGCACTGTTGGGAAGCCTGGGGAGGGGAGCAAGGAAGGGGGAGGGGGAGGGGAGTACGGCAGAAGAGGAGACATAGGGGGTTACAGGAAGGGGAGACGTGAGAGGAGTGAGGGAATGGGGCAGGATGAAAGCTGAAAGGGCTTTTGGAGTGAACTCAGCGGAGCCAATTTTGAAATTTCTCAAAAACCAATTCTCAAAAACTGATTCTCAAAAACCGATTCTCAAAAACCAATTCTCAAAAACCAATTCTCAAAATTGAGTCAACTGAAGATGGGAGACTCATGAGAGGGCTGATGCGGTGGCTGACAGCTGAAAGAGTGGCGAGCGTGGATGGATGGAAAAATGCGTGAAGGAGAAACAAGCGAGCAGAGATGGGCAGGCTGACAGCTGAAAGAGAGCTTTTGAGTCGACTCAAGAAGATGGGAGACTCATGAGATGAGAGGTATGATGGGCTGGCTGACAGCTGAAAGAGAGCTTTTGAGTCGACTCAAGAAGATGGGAGACTCATGAGATGAGAGGTATGATGGGCTGGCTGACAGCTGAAAGAGAGCTTTTGATTCGACTCAAGAAGATGGGAGACTCATGAGATGAGAGGTATGATGGGCTGGCTGACAGCTGAAAGAGAGCTTTTGAGTCGACTCAAGAAGATGGGAGACTCATGAGATGAGCGGTATGATGGGCTGGCTGACAGCTGAAAGAGAGCTTTTGATTCAACTCAAGAAGGTTGGAGACTCGCGAGAGGGATGAGGGGCTGGCTGACAGCTGAAAGAGTGGCGAGCGAGGGGCAGCAAGAACACACGAGGGAGGGAGCATGGATGGAACATGCGTAATCCGTGTGTAATGAGTCGATTTTTGAGTCGACTCAAAAATCGACTCAAAAGTCGACTCATAACACACGAGGTAGGGAGCATGGATGGAACATGCGTAAATGCGAAAACTGCAAGGGGTGGGCAGGTTGAAGTGCGGGTTAGATTTTCACATATTTTTTCCTCTTGTCTTAATCAGTATCTACAGGCAAGATTTGGGGGCTCACTGTGCAGACGTGGGGTCCTCTGATTGGATCTGGCGCAGTTGCTGCAAATGAAGCAGAGAGGCAGTGGGGAAGGAAACAGCGCTCGTTAAAGCACCAGTCATAGACATGGGAGAGAGAGAGAAAAAAAAACAGCGATATAAAACTGAGAAACCAACCAACAACGGGTTTTTCTGTGCATCCGACGTACACAATTTGACCACTTTGACTCATAGCTGGCCTTCTAACGCCATTCACTGCAACACACATCCCCACCACCGCTGCCATCACATAAGCACCTAATCCACATGCATGCACCTATTCTGGTCCACATGCATGCACCTAGTCTAGTCGACTTGCATGCACCTAGTCTAGTCCACATGCATGCACCTAGTCTGGTCCACATGCATGCACCTAGTCTAGTCGACATGCATGCACCTAGTCTAACCCACATGCATGCACCTAATCTAGTCCACATGCATGCACCTAGTCTAGTCCACATGCATGCACCTAGTCTAGTCCACATGCATGCACCTAGTCTGGTCCACATGCATGCACCTAGTCTAGTCGACACGCATGCACCTAGTCTAACCCACATGCATGCACCTAATCTAGTCCACATGCACGCACCTAGTCTAGTCCACATGCATGCACCTAGTCTAGTCCACATGCATGCACCTCGTCTAGTCCACATGCATGCACCTAGTCTAGTCCACATGCATGCACCTAGTCTAGTCCACATGCATGCACCTAGTCTAGTCCACATGCATGCACCTAGTCTAGTCCACATGCATGCACCTAGTCTAGTCCACATGCATGCACCTAGTCTAGTCCACATGCATGCACCTAGTCTAGTCCACATGCATGCACCTAGTCTAGTCCACATGCATGCACCTATTCTAGTCCACATGCATGCACCTAGTCTAGTCCACATGCATGCACCTAGTCTAGTCCACATGCATGCACCTAGTCTAGTCCACATGCATGCACCTGGTCTAGTCGACATGCATGCACCTGGTCTAGTCCACATGCATGCACCTAGTCTAGTCCACATGCATGCACCTAGTCTAATCCACATGCATGCACCCACCACCACCAACCACGTGGCTGGCCTTGTATCATAGGCAACATCCACTGGAGGCAACATGCACAGTTTAACTCATAGCTGGCCTTCTATGCATGCACTTACCTCCACCAGTTTGACTCATAGCTGGCCTTCTACCATTATCCACTGCAACACACATCCCCGCCACCGCTGCGGACCGATAACCATCTAGCCACCCACGTGCATTCACTTACCTTACCTCCACAACTTGATACATGGCTGGCCTGGTACCATTGTAAACAGCAACACACATCCTTGCCCGCCACCGCTGCTGCCACCATTTAAGCACCTAACCCACACATGCACATGCACTCACCTCCACTACTTGACTCATGGCTGGTCTTCTACCATTATCCACAGCAACACACATCCCTGCCACCACTGCCATCCGAACCAGACCCTCCTTGCCGAACCTCCCCTCCAGAGCCGGGTCAGCGAGCTGCCGAACTTGCGCCCGAGGCTCGGCAAGCAGCGGCCTGGCCCACTTCACAAGGCTCTCCAAACCTGCAGGCTTGGTTCGGTCCACAGCTTCACGTCCGGTGATGAGCTCTAGTAGAATAACCCCAAAGCTGTAGACATCACTTTTGATGCCGGATTGACCTGTCAGGGTGTATTCTGGAGCCATGTACCTAGGAGCGAGAATGGGAGATGGGGGAAATGGCATGAGGGGAGGGGGGTTGGTGGGGGGTGGGGAGGTTGGGGGGGAGGAGGGGGGGAGGAAGGGGGGAGAGGTTGGGATTGAGGGAGGGGGGTGGGTTTGGTCGATGGCTTCACATTTGGTGATGGGCTCCTGATGGCTTCACACATGGAGAATAACCCCAAAGCTGTAGACGTCTAGTTTTGAGGCGCCTAAAAAAAAACCGCGTGATAGAAGTCTAGTTTTGAGGCGCCTCAAAAGTAGACTTCTCCCGATGGCCTCACATTTGGTGATGCGCTCCTGGAGAATAACCCCAAAGCTGAAGGCCAAAGCTTCAGCTTTGGCTTTACATATGGAGAATAACCCCAAAGCTGTAGACGTCACAGATTGAATCGGGCCTTCCTGTCAGGGAGAAAAGAAAATCCGAACTCCCTGGCATGGCGTTATATTTTGAGGTGACTTTTGGGTCGACTCAAAAGTCACCTTGTTATATACTGTTTGTTTTGAGACGTCTCAAAACAAACCTTTTAGTCCGAACTCCCTGGCATGGCGTTCTCTGGAGGCAAGTACCTGGGGGTGGGAAAGAGAATTTTCAAAAACAAAACACACCCTGACATGGCGTTCTCTGGCTGGAGGCAGGTACCTGGGGGCTGAAAATGGGGGGTGGGGGACGGGGGAAGAGTGGGAGCTGGGGGTTGGGACTTTTGAGTCGACTCAAAAGTCAGCTGGGGGTTGGGACTTTTGAGTCGACTCAAGAGTGGGAGCTGGGGGTTGGGGAGGGGTAACAGGTTTGGCCGAGTGAACACCACTTGGGTGCCATAGATCTTCACGTGGCAGCAACTTTGAAAACGCTGGGGGTTGGCAAGGGGTAACAGGTTTTTGAGGCGCCTCAAAAATAGACTCCTCACGCAAGGTTTGGTCAACAACAGAAGATTTGGTTAAGGCACAGGAACACATCTCAACAGCACGTGGCCTCAACAGCACATGGCCTCAACAGCACATGCCCCCCCCTCCTCTAAGCCCGTCAGCATAAGGACACAGGGTAACCTCACAACAGCACATGGTCTCACTCACCCGAACATGCCCAATATGTGTGCTGATACCATGCTCGCTTACTCCCTCACCCCCCTCCCCCTCCTCTAACCCCCCCGGCATAAGGATACATGGGAACATCTCAACAGTCATGGTCTCACTCACCCAAACATGCCCACCATATGTCCCAATACCATGCTCCTCTGCCGCCCCCCACCTCCTCTCCTCTGCTCTCACCACACTAGAAACAAAGACTCACCCGAATGTGCCCACCATGTGTCCCGACCCCATGCTCTTCTGCTGCACACCACCTCCTCTCCCTTGCACCATCCCTTCTCTCCCTCTTCTCCCACTTTCCTCCCCAGACCCTCCCGAATCCCCCCCGACCTCGTTCCTCCCGGTTTCCCCCTCGTCTCCCTCCCCTTTTCCGCACTCCTCATTCCCCTCTCCGCTCTCTCTCCCACCGCTCCCCCCCTCACCCTCCACTGTCCTAGCCAGCCCGAAATCCGCGATTTTAGGAGTGAAATCCCTATCCACCAACACATTCGCGGTCTTCAGATCGCGGTGAATGATCAGAGGAGACGCATCCTCGTGCAAGTAGCACACGCCCTGGGCGATTCCAACAGCTATCCTCAGCCTTGTGGGCCAGTCTAGAGTGCCGGAGGGAGGAGGTCTCATCCCACCTCCTCCATGCAGCAACGCGTGCAGAGTCCCACGCTCCACAAACTCAAACACCAGGCACCGGAAGTTCCCCTCGCGGCAAATTCCTAGAAGCTTCGCGATGTTTCTGTGGTTCAAACAGCTCAAGATATTGGCCTCTGCTGAAAACTCTCTATCGAATTCGAGGTCTCTTATAGGGGGGATGTCCTCCGAACCTGCTTCAGACCCTGCTCCCCAACCTGCTTCCGAACCTGTTCGCAAGCCTGCTCCTCCCAAGCCTGGAGTCCCCGCACCTGCTCCCGAGCCTGGTCCTGCTCCTGTTGCTGTTGCTGCTATCCGTGCTGCTGTTGCTTCTGCTACTGCTGCCATCACGAAAGCTGCTCCCGAGCCTTGCTCATTTAGGTCCGGGGACCCAGCCAAAGCTGCCAAACCTGCTGCCGAGGCTCGGAACGAGGTTCGGGAGGACAGAAGCAGCTTCACAGCAACCGGAGTGCCGTTTTCCAAAACTCCCTTGTACACCCGGCTAAACCCTCCCTGCCCGATCAAGTTACCCGAGCTGAAATTTTCCGTGGCTGCCCGGACTTGCACGACCGAAAAAGAGTACGCCCCGTCCGAAAAGTTTTCAAGCTTCAATGATGTTGCAAAAGGGATGCCTGAAAACTCGGGCTTTAAGGGCCTCTGCTTCCCCTTCATTCCTCTCCTCCTACCTCCTCCCCCCTCCTCTCCTGCTCCCCTCAGGTATACTCCCCTCATGTAATCCGCCTTATTGTAATCAGCAGGATCTCGGTCCCATGCTCTTGTGTCCCGTTCTCGTTCCCATTCTTGTCGCTCAGGGATTGCCAAGGGTCTTTGAGACGGGGAGGAGGAAGGGGAGGAGCTAGAGGGTGGGGAGTAGCTGTTCTTTCTTTTACCGTGTGCCGCTGCTGCCGCCAATGCTGCTGCTGCTGCAGCAGCAGAGCTTTCCTCCGCAAGCCACGAATCCTCCTCCTCCTCAACCCCTCCCTCACTCCCCCTCCTCACTCCCTCTCCCTCACTCCTTCCCCCCCAAAACGGCCCATACGCTTTCACACCCTTGAAAGCGTTCCTCTGCGCCTTCCGGGTTACTAGCCTATTCCACCCGATCGCGGCCAGGGTAACCAGCGCAAATACCCCTACCGGAACCCCGATAGCCAGGATGATGAGCAACAAGGAGAGAGAGGAGGGAGGGGAGGGAGGGGAGGAGGAAGGGGAGGGGGAGGGGGAGGACAAATCACCGGCGTTGGTGCTGTCAGAGGTGATGTTAGGCGAGAGGGATGGGTCCGGGAAGGGAGGAGGAGGGGGACTGGGGAACGGTTGACCTGATTGGGGGGTGAGCATGTGGGGAGGGGAGGGGGGAAAAGGGGAGAAGAAAGGATAAATCTCTAGCGATCACGTCACCAGCAACAACAGTGTGAACCAGACACAGTTAAACGAGGCCAGAAAAGGGAACACGAGGGCAAACAAGGGCACGCACCAGTCCCAACGACAACTCAACTTACCTGGGTCTAGAATCATAAGGACGGTGAACTCCCCAAACAAGCTCGGGTCCAGCTGCACTCTCCCCTCCAGCAGCAGCCGCCGAATCCTCCCCACTTCCGACCGACTCAGCTGAACCGGGCTCTGCTGCAATTCCTGCCTCCCTCCCTGCGTCGCCACCAACACTCGAGCAGCAGCCTCACCACCCTGACCGGCCTCCTTTCCCCTAGCTGCTTCCTCTTGCACCGAACTCGCCCTAGCTGCTTGCCCCCCCTTAGCTGCTGACTCCCCCTGTATTGAACCCCCCTGCACCGAACTCGCCCTAGCTGCTTGCTCCCCCTTAGCCGCTGAACCACCTTGAACCACCGGCAATAAATACGTGGTGATGATTAGAGCAGTGGGGTCCGGGTCGTAGCTCACAGCCCACACCTCGACCTGCCTTGTGTAAACGGTAAGGCCTGAGGCGAGCTCAGCAGCGAAGACAGGGACATTGTGGAGGAAGGAGTCGAAGGAGGAGTGGAGCCTGGCGATCAGCACCATGGGAAGGGCGCAGGAGCAGGAGAGATCCGAGGGGGAGGCGCGGGGGAGGAGGACGGTCCTGGAAGGGCACGGGGGGCAGTCTGTTGATTGGGGGGGTTGGGGGGGAAGAGGGGGGAATGAGGGGAAGAGAGGGAGAGGAGGGATGAGAGGTGAAGGCAGGGGCGTTGTGGAGGAAGGAGTCGAAGGAGGAGTGGAGTCTCGCGATCAGCACCATGGGAGAGCGTAGGTGCAGGCACCATGGCAAAAGGCACATGGCACATGGCACATTGAGAACGACTCAGGAGGAGGAGGGGAGCCCTGCGAACAGCACCATGGGAAGAGCACAGGCGCAGGAGAGAGAGAGAGAGAGAGAGAGAGAGAGAGAGAGAGAGAGAGAGAGAGAGAGAGAGAGAGAGAGAGAGAGAGAGAGAGAGAGAGAGAGCCGGGGACTAGGAGCTCGACCACGAACACCATGCATGCCTGTACCCACCTTATCTGCCTAGCCTGTACCTAGGATCTCCCAGCAATGAAGGACCGTTAGAGAGAGAGGAGGGGGAGGCGGGGGGAAGGAGGACGGAGCTGGATGGCCAAGGGGGGTAGCCTGATGTTCAGGGGGAAGGGGGTTGGGAGGTTGGGGGGGGTGGGGGAGGTGCAGGGAGGGGGAGATGCAGGGAGGGGGAGGTGGGAGGGGGAAGGGGAGGTGGGGGGGAGGGGTGGGGTGGGGGGGGGTTTGACGAAGGAACAAGGGGAGAATAGAATGTCATGGTGCCACGGGGCTTAGGGAGGCGGGGGCGAGGAGGACTGCTTTGGAAGGGAAACGAGGATTGTCTGATATTCGGTTGGGAAAGAGCGGGGAGGAGAGGAGGGGAGTGGGGGGGAGGGGCTAAGTGTTGAGACTTTGCAAAACAAGGGTGAAGGGGCCGAAGCGAAGGGACAAGGGGGAAATATCTCCTTATGAGTCTCGTGTGTTATGAGTCTCATTTTGAGTCGCCTAAAAAAAATACTCATTACACTCAAGATGTCACGTGTGTAATGAGTCTCATTTTGAGTCGTCTCAAAAAAATACTCATTACACTCAAGATGTCACGTGTGTTATGAGTCTCATTTTGAGTCGTCTCAAAAAAAGACTCATTACACTCATGATGTCACGTGTGTAATGAGTCTCATTTTGAGTCGTCTCAAAAAAAGACTCATTACACTCATGATGTCACGTTGAGTTGTCTAAAAAAAAGACTCATTACACTCATGATGTCACGTGTGTAATGAGTCTCATTTTGAGTCGTCTCAAAAAAAGACTCACTACACTCATGATGTCAGGGAAAGAAAGGGAGGAGGAGGAAGAGGAGGGGATTGAGAAGGGGTTTAAGGGGGTTGATTGAGGTGGGGTTTGAGGGGGTTGAGGTGGGTGGGAGGGAAAGAGGGCAATAGCAAAGGAGACGGGCGGGAGAGGGGGCTTGAGTGAACTCACGTCTGCTGTCGGGGGGTGGGGGAGGTAGGATGAGCGGCGGTGCCGGTGGCAAAACGATGGCAGGGCTTGATGGGCCGATGAAGAAAGGCGGGAGAGAAAAAAGAGGAGAAGGACGAGGAGGAGGGGGAGGAGGTGGGGTGAGAAAGAGAGTACCAGGAGAAGGGGTAGGGAGAGAGCTGGGGGGAGGGGCGAAGTGAAGGGGAGGAGGAGGGGGAGGGGGAGATGTGAGGATGACGGGTGCATGGCTGCGGGGAGTGGCAGCGTAGAGGGGAGGATGGTGCTTGATGGGGTGGTGGAGAGGAGGGGGAGGGGGAGATGGAGGGGCGGCTAGCGGTGGTGAGGGATAGGTGGGAGTGTCAAGGGGGGGGGGCAGTGAGGGTGAAGGGTGAATTGAGAAAGAAGGAGGAGGAGTAGGAGGAGGGTGGGATGCGGGAGAAGAGAGTGGAGGAGAGGGAGGAGAGGGGGAAGAGGAAGGGGAGGAGAGAGTGGGAGCAGATAGGGGGGATTCAGCAGGGGCGGAAGGTGGGGGGAAGGGATGGGGCAGGGGGAGATATGGGGGGGGAGAAGGGGGGTGGGGGAAGACGGCAGGGGAGGAGGGGGAAGGGCTAGGGGCCGGTGCAGGTGAAAGGCTCGGAGGTTCGGCAGGAGTTTCGGCAGGAGGTTCAGCAGGAGGTTCGGCAGGAGTTTCGGCAGGAGTTTCAACAGGAGGTTCAGCAGGAGGTTCGGCTGGAGGCTTGGCAGGAGGTTCGGGAAGAGGTTCAGAAGGGGGAGGGGGGCTGTGGGCGCGTGGGGGATGTCTTTTGGGGGGTTTGTGAGGGTGAGGGGGAGGTTGGGGGAGATCCGGGGGAAGGGGGGAATCAGATGGGGGGAAAACAGGGGGAGGGGCGTTGGGGGAAGCTGCTGGGGAAGGGGCAGAGGATAATATAGGGGGAAAATCAGGGGAAGGGGCGGGGTAGGGAGCAGGGTAGGACGGGGGGTCAGCTTGGGGAAGAGAGGGAGAAAGGTCAGGGGGCAGGGCTGGGGGGACAGCAGGGGAGGGGGAAAGATACGAGGGGGGATCAGCAATCGGGGGAAGAGCAGGCTGAGGAGCAGACTGGGGAGCGGGGGGGGGGGAAGAGGGGGGGAGGGGAGAGGGAAGGGGGACGGGGGGATCGAGAGGAGGATGGAGGAGAGGGGGGAGAGGAAGGAGAGGAAGGGGGGGGGGAGTCGGCAGTAGGGGTGAGGGAACCTGAGTCGTATGGGGGAGGGGGAGGGGGAGGGGGGCGGAGGGGAGAATAGGGGGAGGGGCTGGGGGGAGTGCAGGGGGGGAGGCTGGGGGGGCAACAGGGGGAGTGGCAATAGGATCGGGAGATGGGGCAGAGGGTGGGGCTAAGGGCGCAGGGACAGGAGGTTCGGCAGGAGGTGCAGCGGCAGGAGGTTCGGCAGGAGGTGCAGCGGCAGGAGGTTCGGGAGATGGTGCGGCAGGAGGAGGTTCGGCAACAGGTGGTATGGCAGCAGGTGGTTCAGCAGCAGGGGGTTGAGCTGGAGCCTGGTTTGGTGGTTGACTTGCTGCCGGTGCTGCTGCTGCTGCTGCTGATGCTGGCGATGCTGCGGCTGTTGCCGGTGCTGCTGTTGATGCTGCTGCTGCTGCTGCTGCTGCTGCTGCTGCTGCTGCTGCTGCTGCTGCTGCTGCTGCTGCTGCTGCTGCTCCTGGCGCTGCTGTCGCAGCAGCAGCAGCAGCAGCAGCAGCAGCATCCGCTGACACTACACCAGAAGAACTTGCGCTGTTCGATTGCCCACTCAGGCTCACACGGAGCGCCAGGCGCCGCTGACCCTGCAGCACCTCGCCCCCACCTGGCGGTTCAGAACGAGCTTCCCCACTGGGGACCGAGCCTAGCTGTGAGTGAGCATGTGGCACAGCCCTAGGGCTGTCGAGGTCGAAGACCGATGTGGCCATACCCATATGCACAGGAACCGGCTTTGGCAAGGGCATGGGCATGGTGACGTGCAGAGCTACTGGCATAAGCATGGGCGTGGGCATTTCCTTGGGAATGGGCCTCCCTTGGCCTTCTCTCCCTCTGCTCCCCCTCTTTTGAGTCGACTCAAGAGCTACCGGCACATGCATGGTCGCAGGCATGGAAACGTGCAGAGCTACCGGCATAGGCATGGGCATGGGCGTGGGCATTTCCTTGAGAATGGGCCTCCCTTGGCCTTCTCTCCCTCTGCTCCCCCTCTTCTGTCCTGTGCCTTTCACTTCCTTGTTGCTCCTGGGACTTCTGATTATGCCGCCGCTGCCGCTGCTGCTCCTGCTGCTGTGTGCAGGCCCCCATGTCTTCTGGTAAGGAAGGAGCAACAAGGGCGGAATGAATGAAGGGATTCGTTTTGAGGCGCCTCAAAACAAGGGCGGAATGAATGAAGGGATTCGTTTTGAGGCGCCTCAAAACAAGGGCGGAATGAATGAAGGGATTCGTTTTGAGGCGCCTCAAAACAAGGGCGGAATGAATGAAGGGATTCGTTTTGAGGCGCCTCAAAACAAGGGCGGAATGAATGAAGGGATTCGTTTTGAGGCGCCTCAAAACAAGGGCGGAATGAATGAAGGGATTCGTTTTGAGGCGCCTCAAAACAAGGGCGGAATGAATGAAGGGATTCGTTTTGAGGCGCCTCAAAACAAGGGCGGAATGAATGAAGGGATTCGTTTTGAGGCGCCTCAAAACAAGGGCGGAATGAATGAAGGGATTCGTTTTGAGGCGCCTCAAAACAAGGGCGGAATGAATGAAGGGATTCGTTTTGAGGCGCCTCAAAACAAGGGCGGAATGAATGAAGGGATTCGTTTTGAGGCGCCTCAAAACAAGGGCGGAATGAATGAAGGGATTCGTTTTGAGGCGCCTCAAAACAAGGGCGGAATGAATGAAGGGATTCGTTTTGAGGCGCCTCAAAACAAGGGCGGAATGAATGAAGGGATTCGTTTTGAGGCGCCTCAAAACAAGGGCGGAATGAATGAAGGGATTCGTTTTGAGGCGCCTCAAAACAAGGGCGGAATGAATGAAGGGATTCGTTTTGAGGCGCCTCAAAACAAGGGCGGAATGAATGAAGGGATTCGTTTTGAGGCGCCTCAAAACAAGGGCGGAATGAATGAAGGGATTCGTTTTGAGGCGCCTCAAAACAAGGGCGGAATGAATGAAGGGATTCGTTTTGAGGCGCCTCAAAACAAGGGCGGAATGAATGAAGGGATTCGTTTTGAGGCGCCTCAAAACAAGGGCGGAATGAATGAAGGGATTCGTTTTGAGGCGCCTCAAAACAAGGGCGGAATGAATGAAGGGATTAGTTTTGAATGAAGGAATGAATGAAGGAAGGAGCAACAAGGGCGGAATGAAGGGATTAGAGAGCAACGGGGAAACGGCGGGGCAAGCAGGAAAGGAGGGAGTGAGGGAGGGAGCAAAGAAAAACGAATGTCTTAGGGATTGTTGAATTGTGCTTGTATAAAGAAGGAAAGGCATACAATTGCACCTGTTGGCACGTAGGCCTGGATGTGTGCACTACGTTATTGCATGCATGCGCTCATGCCCTCATGCCCTCATGCCCTCATGCCCTCATGCCCTCATGCACTCATGCTCACACACGCACACACACAGATTCACACGTGCTCACATGTGCACACGCACACGCACGTACGAAGGTGGTTCGGTTGATCAGCCAAAACGAAGGAGCCACAGCAGCTGCCACGCCCACTCGCCCCGCCTTTCTCTCTCCTCTCTTCCCTCCTCTCTTCCCTCCTCTCTTGCCTCCTCTTCCCCCTTCTTTCTTCTCTATCATCTCCCGCTTTCCCTCCTCTACCTTCCCACCCCCCTGCTCCGCCCCCTGCCCTTCCTTTTCCTCCCCTCCCCCTCTCTCACTCCTGCTCTTCTCAACCACTTGAGTCGGCTCAAAATCCAGCACCCCCCCTCTCTTCTCCTCCCCTCCCTTCTCCTCCCCTCCCTTCTCCTCCCCTCCCTTCTCCTCCCCTCCCTTCTCCTCCCCTCTCCCTCTCTCACTCCCACCCTTCCCAACCTCCCCATCCCGTGCTAGCCCTCTTTCATCCTCCTCCCTTCTTTCGACCGACTCCTGCCCTCCCCCTCTCTTAACCACCTCCTCACTTCTCGCATCAATCTCAGCTCCAAAGAGCGGCTTGGCCCTGTTGTTGACTCCGGAAAGGGGGCGCTTACTGCTTTGAAGGGGGGGTCTTGCAACCGACTCCTCCCCTCCCCCTCTCTTATCCACCTCCTCACTTTTCGTATCAATCTCATGTCCAAAGAGCGGCTTGGCCCTGTTGACTCCGGAGGGGGGGCGGTTATCGCCTTGGGCCCGTCGACCTTCGGCTGTTACAAAACACCACTGGGGTTCTGGATGGGGGAAGACGGGGGGAAGGAGGGGGAAGGAGGGGTGGGAGGAGGAGGAGGGGGGGGGGGGGGGGGGGTTGAGAGGAGAGCGGAGGGAGGGGCGGATGGACATAGGAGGAGCACAAACGGAAAGAGGGGTCTGTTGACTTTGGATGGGGGGGCAGTTATCGCCTTGGGCCTGTCGACCTTCGGCTGTTGCGAAACAACCCTGGCGTTCTGGATGGGGGAAGGTGGAGGGAGGGAGGGGGAAGGAGGGTGGAGGGGGAGGGGGGAGGGGGGAGCGGGGGGGAGGGGGGAACGGGGAGCGGGGGTGGGGGTGTGAGAGGAAGGAAGCGAGGGAGGGACGGATGGAGGAGGAGGAGGGGCATAAGGGGGGAGAGGGGTCTGTGGGAAGATGGGCGGAGGGAGGGGGAAGGAGAGAGGGGGGGTTGGGGGGGTTGGGGTGGGGGGGAGGGGGGGAACGGAGGGAGGGACGGATGGAGGAGGAGGAGGGGCACAAGGGGGGAGAGGGGTCTGTTGACTCCGAAGGGGGGTGGTTATCGCCTTGGGCCTGTCGACCTTGGGCTGTTGCAAAACACGCCTGGCGTTCTGGATGGGGGAAGATGGGCGGAGGGAGGGGGAAGGAGAGAGGGGGGGGGTGGGAGGGGTTGGGTTGGGGGGGAGGGGGGAGAGCGGAGGGAGGGGCGGATGGAGGGAGGAGGAGCACAAGGGGGAAGAGGGGGCTGTTGACTCTGGATGGGGGGCTGTTATCGCCTTGGGCCTGTCGACCTTGGGCTGTTGCGAAACACCCCTGGCGAAACACCTCTGGATGGGGGACGGTTATCGCCTCAGGTCTGTCGACCTTCGGCTGGTGTAAACCGGGTGCAACACGCCTTACGTCTGTCGACTTACGGCTGGTGTGGTGTGGACCGAGTTCAATATTTTCCTGAAAGGGATCTGAGGAATGGCGGCTGGACGAACAACCCCAGTTGCGGCTCCCTCCCATCCCATGTCCCTCAGCTTACCCTCTGCCTTAGAGTCGACTCAAAAGCAGACCCTTTCCCTCCCTGACCCTCAGCTTACCCTATCCAAAAGCGTGCGTGCACGCCGCGACGAGGCAGGTCGCGAGGGTGACCTGGAGAAACACGCCCTATTCTCTAGACGACATATTCTTCCCCCTATTCTTCCCCCTATTCTTCCCCCTATTCTTCCCCCTATTCTTCCCCCTATTCTCCGCCCCCCCCTGTCCCTCACCCTGCCCTCATCTTACCCTCCCCAAACGCGTGCGTGCACGCCGCGACGAGGCAGGTCGCCAGGAAGACCCGAAGCGCGAGCGCCTCGCGCCGCGGTTTCAAACGCGACGCGGAACGCGACATGCAGCGACGCCCGTCAAAGCGCGGCTGACGACGTGGACCTTGAGTCGACTCAAGAGGCACCTCAAGGAGCGACTTGTACGTGTACCGCGATTTGCTATAGAGAGTCATTGTTGCTCCAAGCAGCAATCACCCACTGGGTGGCAGCCTGTGTTCCTCTCCGACGTTACGGGAAGATCCCCCAGACTGGCTCTGGCTGACCGGGATGTCTCCGACACCCACAGCGTGAGATACAAGTCGTGTTTTGAGACGTCTCAAAGCACAATGCCGACAGCGTCATCGCTGCTCTCTAGTCGCCATCGCAGCCGGGGCGTCCTCGTTGCAAGCTGCAGACGCTAGTCTGTGATACCCCAGAACATCACCGCTGAACTGTCATTGAGACGTCTCTGACGCACTGCTTCTAGATTCAGCCTTCGTGGTAACAATTACATGTGAATGCGGCAGCGGAGCTTTACTGTCACGATCTTCGTACTAATATTGCGAAGAATGAACTAGGGGGGTCAGGAAGACGGAGAGAATGACGGAGAGAATGAACCAGGGGGGGTCAGGAAGACGGAAAATATCACTCCCATTCTATCTCGCGTCGCATCCTTCCCATGGCCTCGCAGCACAACTAGCAACGAGGCGAGCGGCCACTGTACTGGACTATAGAAGGAGCATGTTCGCTTCACTGTCCAGGCGGGACATGTACAAGCGCCAGTCAACCTCTTCAAGTGGCCTCGCTTGGTAAGCCTGTGATTCATGCTCTGGTTGAGGACATGGTGGTCAGGAACTCGGAGCATGCCCCTAACATATGTCGGATTGCGGTTGAATCAGGTTCTTCGTGTTCTAGGCAACTTTGAGAGATTTCTATTACGGTTGAGTAGGACATTTTGGAAAACACACACCATGGACACTGTAGGGCATTAGGGCGTGTAACATTTTTTACGAACACGCCTCAGGGTCGACCGTCAGAAAGATTGAATGCGGTCTGGTAGGATTAAATTGCGACGGTTACTGGAAACACGTGGTACAGTACGGTGAATGTTCGGTTCGGAAGTTGTTCGAGAAATTGTTACACGCCCTTAGCGACGTGGTGCGGGCGGAGCCTAAGGTGCTGGAGGACCAACTGTGGGTGGTGCGAGGGTGGTCTGGTACGTACGGTTCAGAAGAGCTTAGGGCGTATCGTTTTGCGTTCGGTCACGAGAGTTCCATTTGGTTAAGAAGTTACTGGTTCTAACACCTTCGCAAATTCCTTGCGAGCAGAATTTCTCTAAGAGCGAGAGTCGCGAAGCGTCGCAGGGCTCGAAAGTGAATTTGACAAACTTTGAAAAGCTGCTGAAGCACCGCACCCTAGGAGAAGGTTCGGTTCGAAATTCGAAATTCACGGACCCCCCCCCCCCCCGAAATGCCGTGGAGCTCTGGGCTGGCCCGTCCGCCTTTCGGTCCCTTCCCCTTCTCCCCCGACGAATCAACTGGGGGAGAGGGTGGGGCGGAAGACATGCTCCCTCGCGATTGCCCAACGCGGAGGGAACCGCCATGTTGTGGCGCGTGCGGCGGACACTTGGGGGGACTGCCGTGCCCGGTCTGTCCACGTGCTTGGCGAAAATGCAGCTCTGGGGGAAGAGGGAGTGTATAAATCGTCTAAAATTACACGTCGGGAAACATGGAGCACGTCGTGTGCTGTTGCTGAGTCTTTCAGCAGATTTTGCAGTGTAGCTCGTAGCCGTCAGGTAACCAATCGTAGTTATGTTTCAGGATCTTGTACTTGGAACACGCCCAGAATACGCCCTTCAGTTCAGCCAACCGATACGCCACAGCCGAGCTCTGCATGGCACAAAAACAGCAACAGCACCATCAAGGATTACCACGGTAGCTCCTAGACCTTCACCACACGGCAGCAGTAGCACCAGCAGCACCAGCAGCATCAGGAATTTCCAGCTTAGATTTATTTCACCCAGCCACATGCCTGCTGTTATACCGGCTTTCCTGTGACCAGGAGTTAGGGCAAGGAGTCTGTTCGTAGCCTTCGCGTGCCTTAGTTTTTTTTTCCCGCAGAAAGCGAGTCTGCGAGGCTCTGAGTCTGCTTGTGGTTTCCCTTCGTCCTTCCGGCTGAATCTGCGACGTGAATACTCGATTTCCATTGCTGCGGTTCTTCGTTCTCCCATTAATACCTTCCTGCTAGATTAAGCGCGTCACGATGTTCGGAGGAGGGTTCAAAGGCTCGAAGCTGTGAGTCCTGTGACCCGCACGTTGTTATTTCGTAGCATGTGTTCGAAGTAACCGGTGCATGTTATTACTTAGGCAGCATCGGTTCAGGATCAGATAAATTACGCCGACGAGACGCTGGCTAGTACATTGGAATAGATTCCGACGATTCATTGTTTTCATTGTTTTGGCGACTACTGTTGACGACGTTAATGTTATTGCTGTCGTCCGTCTTGTCGCAACTGCTCCCCTCCGCATCTCCGTTTCCGCATCGAGGCGTTGATTTGCTCACTCATTAAATATTCGTTCTACACTTCGTCCTCGTTACAGGAAGACCCAGCTTCAGCTATCGGCGTCGCGAATCACGGTGATGCGCAACAAGCGGCAGAACGAGCTCAAGTACAAGCGGCGAGAGGTGGCGATGATGCTCAAGGGCGGGCAGGAGGCTCGAGCTCGCATCAGGGTATGTTACACGCTTTAGTAGTTTATATATGTATATATATATATATGCATACACATACATATTCTTCTACAGTGACGCGCAACAAGCAGCAGAACGAGCTCAAGTACCAGCGACGAGAGGTGGCGATGATGCTCAAGGGCGGGCAGGAGGCTCGAGCTCGAATTAGGGTATGTGATACGCTTTAATTAGAGGTCTGTGCCTGTGACAGTAACGAGGGGGACAAGGGATGCCAAGTCGGGTCCATAGGTGCAACACGAATCCTGGTTAAATTGAGGGTTTCTCGAGATGACTTTTGAGTCGACAAAAGCTGGGTCCGCAGCTGCAACGCGAATCCTGGTAACCTGGTTGCTTCTCTCGTGTAAGAATCGAGCTGTTAACGCCCCTTGTGTTGTCCTGATTTCACATTTATCTGAGTTTCTGTATGTTTGTCTTATGCTGTTTCTGCGATCATTAGTTCTTGACTCGAAGGTGGAGGAGCTTATGAGGAGAACACTATCGCAGCCTATGATGGCTTGTATTTGATATCGAGTCCTTGTATACACATGCTTTTCCTTGCGTATCAGGTGGAGGAGCTTATAAGGGAGGAGAACACTATCGCAGCCTATGATGGCTTGTATTTTGATATCGAGTCCTTGTATACACATGCATTTCCTTGCTTATCAGGTGGAGGAGCTTATAAGGGAGGAGAACACTATCGCAGCCTATGATGGCTTGTATTTTTTATATCGAGTCCTTGTATACACATGCTTGTCCTTGTGTATCAGGTGGAGGAGCTTATAAGGGAGGAGAACACCATTGCAGCCTATGACGTTTTGGAGCTCTTCTGCGAGCTGCTGGTCGCCCGCATCCTCATTATAGAGTCGCAGAAGTGAGTAGTACTTACTGTGACCGTTTTATGTTGTTTCAGTTGACGATGTTTAGTCGGCTAGATGCTCTGAAACTAGCCTTTTTTTTCCTTCCGCTATAGCTTAACCTCGTCAGTGGAACTGCCTGCATTCACTCTGTGTTTCTTGCTGCATCTTTTTCTTACCTGTGTTTCTTTGAGTCGACTCAAAAATCACTTTTTTGTCTTACCTGTGTTTCTTTACTCCCTTGTTTCCTTACGCCCCCTCCGTTCCTTCCCCTCTCTTCCCTTCTATTCCAATCCTCTTTCTTCCCGGAAACATTTCAGGACATGCCCAGTGGACCTGCGGGAGTCTGTCTCGAGCATTATTTTTGCTGCCCACCGCTGCTCCGACCTGCCGGAGCTCGCCGAGGCGAAGAAACTTTTCCAGCAGAAGTTTGGGCGGGAATTCGTGATGGCAGCAGAGGAGCTGCGGCCCGAGTGTGGAGTCAACCGCATTGTGAGTTACAGTGGGGTGGGGTGTGGTGGGTTGCGGTGGGTTGAGGTGGGTTGTGGTGGGGTGTGGTGTGGTGTGGTTGAGTGGATTGGGGTAGGTGTCGCCAGCAGAAGTTTGGGCGCGACATTGTGATGGCAGCAGAGGAGCTGAGGCCCGAGTGTGGAGTCAACCGCATTGTGAGTTATAGTGTGGTGATGTCGGGTGGGGTTGGGTGGGGTGGGGTGCGGTGGGGTATGGTGCGGTGTGGTTGGGTGGAGTGGGGTAGGTGTCGTCAGATGTTAGGGCGAGAGTTCGTGCTGGCAGCCGAAGAGCTGCGGCCCGAATGCCGAGTGAACAGCATTGTGGGTTACAGTGTGGTGGGGTATGGTCCGGTGTGGTTGAGTGAAGTGGGGTAGGTGTCGCCAGCAGAAGTTTGGGCGCGAGTTGGTGATGGCAGCAGAGGAGCTGAGGCCCGAGTGTGGAGTCAACCACATTGTGAGTTCTGGGGTGGTTGGGTGGGGTGGGTTGGACTTAAATCGCTAGTTCTAGTCTGGTGCACAAGTTTGGGCGCGAGTTGGTGATGGCAGCAAAGGAGCTGCGGTCCAAATGCGGAGTCAACCAGATTGTGGGTTTTGGGGTGGTGGGTGGGTGGGGTGGGGTGTGTGGGGGTGTGGTCCGAATCGTAATTTCTGGATTGGTGTGGAGTCGGCAGAAGTTTGGGCGGGAATTCTTTATGGCGGCTGACAAGCTCAGGCCCAAGTGAGGAGTCAACCACATTGTGAGTTTTGGGGTGGGGTGGTGGAGTGGGATGGGGTGGGGTGGGGTGGGTTGGGGTGGGTTATGGTGCGGTGTGGTTGGGTGGAGTGGGTTAAGTGTGGTCAACAAAAGTTGGGCACGAGAGTTCCTGACGGCAGCAGAGGAGCTCTGAGGCCCGTGGGTGGAGTCAGCCACCTTATTGACCCAGATTTATTTTCTTTCTTTCTTTCTTTCTTTCTTTCTTTCTTTTTCCCCTTCCTCTTTCGCTCCCTGTCCAGCTCGCAGTCCGAGGCCCATTCCCTGATTCGAATCTCGGGGCTCTGTAGAAATTAGCGGAGGAGAACGGAGTGGAGTGACCGGCTCACCTGCAGTCATGCGTCCTATCTTCGCCCTCCATCCCCTCAATCCGAACTTCCAGATCGTGGCTAAGCTGTCAGTCCGAGCCCCCTCGCCTGAGTCGAAGCTGGAGGCGCTGCAGAAATTGGCAGAAGAGAACGGGGTGGAGTGGGACCCGGCCAGCATGCAGAAAGACCTGCTGGCGAAATATGAGGATATGATGGTAAGTGTGGGGTGGAGTGACTTTTGAGTCGACTCAAAAGTCACCCTTGTTACAATGTCATGTTACACAACACTTGGAGTCGACTCAGAAGCACGAGGATATGATGGTGGTAAGTGTGGGGCGGGGTTGTAAGGACTTGAGAATGAGTAGAACTTGAATGAAGTCGCAGAGGAGAACGGGGTGGAGTGGGACCCGGCCAGCATGCAGAAAGACCTGCTGGCGAAATATGAGGATATGATGGTAAGTGTGGGGTGGAGTGACTTTTGAGTCGACTCAAAAGTCACCCTTGTTACAATGTCATGTTACACAACACTTGGAGTCGCCTCAGAAGCACGAGGATATGATGGTGGTAAGTGTGGGGCGGGGTTGTAAGGACTTGAGAATGAGTAGAACTTGAATGAAGTCGCAGAGGAGAACGGGGTGGAGTGGGACCCGGCCAGCATGCAGAAAGACCTGCTGGCGAAATATGAGGATATGATGGTAAGTGTGGGGTGGAGTGACTTTTGAGTCGACTCAAAAGTCACCCTTGTTACAATGTCATGTTACACAACACTTGGAGTCGACTCAGAAGCACGAGGATATGATGGTGGTAAGTGTGGGGCGGGGTTGTAAGGACTTGAGAATGAGTAGAACTTGAATGAAGTTGCAGAGGAGAACGGGGTGGAGTGGGACCCGGCCAGCATGCAGAAAGATTTGCTGGCGAAATACGAAGATATGATGGTAAGTGCGGCGCTTAGTTAAGTGGCACTTAATTAACGCTGAGGCGGTGCAAAAATTGGCGGAGGAGAGCGGGGTGGAGTGGGACAACCTGGATAACATGCAGAAGGATCTGCTGGCGAAATACAAAGACATGATCGTAAGTGCGGCGCTTAGTTAAGTGGTACTTAAGCTTAGTCAGGACCCTCGCTCCAAACAGCCAGCCTAAACACTTCATCCATCCCAGCCGCCCCAGGCACCTCAAGGGGTGGAAATCTCCCCTCGCACTCACCTTTTACCCTCTCTCCCTGCCCCTTCCCGCCCTCCCAACTTTCCACTCCCCCCCCCCCCCAAACTTTCAGGACCCCCAATCCAACCAGCCAGTTCATCCCAGCTGCTCCCAGTCTTTACCATGGTGAAAACCACCTTGTGTAATGAGTCGATTTTTTAGTCGACTCAAAAATCGACTCATTACACACGGGTTATAACCGTTTTTTTTCTTCCTTCCCTCCCCTCCACCACACCACCTCCCCCCCCCCCCCCCCCCCCCCCTCTCCTTTCCTCCCCAGGACCCCCAATCCAACCAGCCAATTTACACTTCCTCCATCCCAGCCGCCCCAAGAACCCCCCCTCCCCACGACTCCGCACCCAACATGTTTGGCCCCGGGCAGCCCTACAATCCTGGGCAGCCCGCAAATGTTCCGGCGGGCAGCCAGCCGTACGAATCCGGCCGTCCATCTGCCCCCCCTCGCACGGATTCCCTGATAACAGCAGATGAGTATGAGAAGAGGTGGGTGGGAGGAGGGGCAGGCGGGCAGGGTCAACCAAACAACCCCCCTCACCCCGCTTCTGCTGCTGCTGCCGCTGCTGCTGCTGGTGCTGGTGCTGGCACTGGTGGTGGTGGTGGTGGTGGTGGTTATGGTGCTGGTGGGGGGTCTGCTGGTTACGCTGGCGTTGGTGGTAACCCCTTGGACTATCCAGCAGCAGCCGTGCCAAAGTATGGAGAGGGGAAGGTTTTTAAGAAGGATGCCATGGATTATGCTCCGAGCCGCTATGGTGGAGGGGGCGGAGGGGGAGGAGGAGGTGTTACCAACCAAAATCTGAATAATAATAATCCCAGTGCACCTGGTAACAACGAGCCCAGTGGGGCGTTTTCAACGGAAGAGATTCGCCAAGCCGAGAACGAGGTTGCTCGGGAGTTTGATCGTGTGGCTGAGGAGAGAGAGCGCCAGATGGCGGCCATCCGTGAGTCATCGGAGCGTGCCAGGCTGGCGGCGCAGCGGGCGGCAGATGCCGCCCGGATGGCGGTCGGGGGAGGGGGGATCGGTGCTTGTTATGGTTCGGGGGCGGGAGGCGGGGGAATGATGGGGGGAGCGGGAGGTATGGCAGTGAACGCACGTTATGGGCCTAGTGCCTATGGCGGCCTGTCAGGTGGACCTTCAGGTGGTTCTGTTGCTCCAGGTGGGGGAGGGGGTGGTCAGGAGGATGGGGTGGAGAGCCTAGACCTGCCAGCTCCCCCTCAAGGCATCATAGGGGGAGGAAGAGGAGGGGGAGCTGGAGGAGGGGGAGGAGGGGGAGGAGGAGAAGGAGGAGGGGGGTTTGTAGGGGCGAGTGCGTTTGATGATTTTGTGGCTAAGTCTCCACGAGCAGGGGAGACAGGTAGTGGATACGGGGGAATAGGAGGAGCAGGAGGGGGAGGAGCAGGAGGGGGGGGGACTGGAGGGGTAGGAACGGGATATGGAGGGGAAGCGGCACCAACTCATGGCACTCCAGCACACGCTTTTGATGACTTCGTTGCTCGATCCCCCAGAGGTAGTAGTGGTAGCAATGGGACTGGCACTGGTGCTGGCAGCGGTGCATTTGACGCCCCCTCCGTCCCAGGTTCGGGCCGCACCCACTCCTCTGACTCAGGCTCGGCGTTCCCCTCCGTGCCGAACCCAGGCTCGGAATTCCCCTCGGTGCCTGGCTCAGGTGGCTACAGCTCCGGCGCTGGCTCGGGCTATGGCGCAGGCTCAGGGCCTGGTTTGGCAACAGCAGGCTCGGGGATGCCGAGTGGTCCGGGGACAGCTGGATTGTCGGGAGATGTTATGTCTCTGCCGGGCATTGATGACCTGGCGGCTAGGTTTGACCGGCTGCGGAAGAGAACGACTGCATCGGATGACATGTGATGGCAGGGAGGGGGTGTGCAGGCATACCAGGGGTGGGTGTGATGTCGCTACTAGGGGTATTGATAGCCTGGCAGCTAGGCTTGACCGGCTGCGGAAGAGAACGACTGCATCGGATGACATGTGATGGCAGGGAGGGAGGGAGCCTCGGAATGGGAGGGAGCTTGTGAATGAGAGGGGTTATGTGGCTGTGATGTCGCCGCCAAGGGTATTGATGGCCTGGCGGCTAGGTTTGACTGGCTGAGGAAGCGAACAACTGTTTTGGACGACCTTTGAGTGTGTGGGGTTGAGTGCATTCAATGGGCTGGGATTGGCATGGGATGACCTGGCTGCTAGGCATGATCGCCTGAGAAAGAGAACCACTGTGTCAAATGGGGAAGGCGCGCGCGTTACCTGTGTGGCTTGGGGTATTTGCTGGTCGGCCGGTAGGTTCTGTTATCCAGACACGAAGTAACGTTTTTTGTCAACCAGCTCAGTTGGGTTTGAGTTGGGTAGGGTGCAGTCCAGTGTGGATAATATTGCTATCGCAGTGCACCCCACTAAAATTGAAACCATAGATGGCTGATACCATGTCATGTGGAGCGGGTTACAAGGAGGTTCGAGGCGCATCAAAAATCATGTGGAAGGGATACAAGGAGCATCCTCCTACTCGAGATGCCACATTTGTTGCCAGCTCTCTACACCCTTCGCCTCAAGCTTTTTTCAGAACCACTCCCCCCTAAGGCTACTATGAACCACCATGGGAGCGGAGAAATATGGGTCCATTGGTCTCACCTAAATTTCTTGCCAGCTGGCGTTTGTGAGTGCCAAACAAAAGATAATCAATGGTGTGATGTGGTATTTTATAATGCAGAGGACACACGAAGCAGGTGGGAACTACATCGGCATCTAGTAGGTATTATTGGTATTAATGTCTAAATCTGCAGAGGGCCGAGTTGCCGAAGCAGAGCCAAACGGCTGCTAGGCTGCTAGCTGCTTCTAGGCTCCTGTCTAGCTGCCAACTACTCTTAACATGGCTGCTTTCTGCAACTGAAGCTGCTATCCCTAGCTCCTGTGAGGGTTATGGGGTGTACTACTACACCCCAGCCTCCTCTACACCCACTTCATGGGCCTATCCTGTGTCAATAAATCAGCAAAACCATTGATGCGCCCCTTATCGCATCATTCATCCAGGAGTCCCCCCCGCCCCACCCCAGGCTCTCAAACCCTCCACACCCACCGCCCAAACCACCACCCAACCCACCCCCACCACGCCCAACCCCAGCAATCATTGCAGCATTCCAATGGTAACCAGCACAGCAATGGTTACCAGTGCCGCACCTGTCATTGATTCATCAACCCCCGCCCCAGACTCTCATACCCTGGGCTCCTACCACCGCCAGCAGTAGTCGGTCCTTGGGCGCTCATCCGCCACTTCCTGAACTGGTTCCAACCGAGCAAGCCCATGGTGATCAGGGCAGCAGCGCCCAGGGGAACAGTAACCATGAGGACCACCATTAGAGTGTCAACGCCAGAGTCGTTGGGCGGCGGCGGAGGGACGGTGGTGGTGGTGGTGTTGGTGCGGACCACTGCTGATGCGTCGTTGTAGGATTCTGGGAGGATCTGCGGGTAGGTGGTGTTGGGAATGCCGGCACCTGCAATGGGGGGGTTGGGTAAGAGGGGAAGAGGAAGCGAGGAAATGCAAAAACATCAAGAATATTAGAGTGGGTGGCGGCTGCTGCAGACTAGGATTCTGGGAGGATCTGCGGGTAGGGTGTTGCATCTGAAAGAGGGGAAGAGGGATGAACATGGGAAGCACATGGGGATCACGTGGGGAGCACGTGGGGAGCACGTGGGGATCACGTGGGGAGCACGTGGGGAGCACGTGGGGAGCACGTGGGGAGCACGTGGGGAGCACGTGGGGAGTACATGCAATCTTTCCAACTCCATCTGCAACACTGCAACAGCCAAGAAGACCTCCAAACCAACCAGTCATCTCCAAAACCAACCAGTACGAATGATTATCACCACGTGCCTTCCCTGGATTTTGCAGGGCGCTTTTGAGAATTCTCAAAAACACCCTGCAAAACCAACCACCAGTACGAATTACTATCCCCACCTCCCACTTGTCTCACCTTCGGGAGGGGGAGGAGCCTTAGCAACCGGCGTGACTTTTGAGTCGACTCAAAAGTCAACCAGTACAAGTAATTATCCCCATCTTCCAGTTGTCTTACCTTCGGGAGGGGGAGGAGCCTTAGCAACCGGCGGCGACGGCGATGGCGGTGGCGACAGTGGCTGGAGCGGCACCTGCGGTTCCAACGGAAGCCCCCACGGATCGAACCCCCCCCCCGCGTCGGGCGGGGAATAAGGCGGGATCTGCACCTTCGGCGGCTTCGGCGCTACTGGCAGCGTTGGGACTTTAGGCATCGTCGGCACCTTAGGCACCTTAGGTTTCACCACCGGCGGCTTATTCTTCTTTATTAGAGCCGCTTTGGGGTCCGGCCGGCCGGGAGCCTTGGGGAAAACCGCGACTCTGCCTTTAAACGGGGATAATGTAAACGAGTCGGTGGGTGCGCGGGAGGGCACGGGGACGAGGTCGAAGGGGAGGGGGAGGACGTTGTCCGGTATGAGAGGGCCGAGGGCGGGAGCTGGGGTCGGGTCGATGGGTAAGGGGTTGGTGACTTGAGGCGGGAATGATATTACCGGGGGGAGTTTGACGTTGAAGGGAGGGGTGACAGTAACAGGTTGGGGTAGGACCTCGATAACAGGTGGTGGTGACTCTTTCCTGTGCTTCCCCTTCTTCCCCTTCTTCCCCTTCTTCCCCTTCTTCCCCTTCCTACTGGTCCTGTGCTTGCGTGATCTCGACCCCCCAGATGTGCTCCGCTCCGAACGGCCCTCTCCTTCGGTACTCCCGTCGTCAGGCACGTTACTGTCACCACCCCCATCCCCATTCCCGCCCCCATCCCCATTCCCGCCCCCATCCCCATTCCCACCCCCATCTCCACCCCCATCTCCACCCCCATCTCCACCCCCATCTCCACCCCCATCTCCACCCCCATCTCCACCCCCATCTCCACCCCCATCCCCACCACCACCGTCACCACCACTATCACCGCCACCATCCCCGCCGCCGTCCCCGCCACCATCACCGCCGCCGTTCCCGCCGCCGTCCCCGCCGCCGCCGCCGCCGTCCCCGCTGCCGTCCCCGCCGCCATCACTGTCGGAACCAGAGTCAGAGGAAGACGAAGACCCGTCTCCGTTTCCCTCTCCGTTCTTCTTGGAGCTCTTGCCCCCGTCTCCGTTTCCGTCTCCTCCGTCCCCGCTGCCGTTCCCGTCACCGTTTCCGTCACCATTTCCGTCACCGTTTCCGTCGCCATTCCCGTCGCCATTTCCGTTGCCATTTCCGTCGCCGTTACCGTCACCCCCGCTACCCCCTCCGTCTCCGTTACCGTCACCCGACGACGATCCGTCGCCTTCGCCCTGCGTGTAGCGCTTCTTGGAGCCGCTCTTGTGCTTCTTCTTCGACGAACCTTCGCTGGACGATCCTCCGTCCCCCGAGCTCGAACCACTCTTAGATCCCTTTTTTTTGTGGGACCCCTTCTTAGAACGTTTTTTAGAGCCCTTTTTAGAACCTTTTTTGGAACCCTTTTTCTTTTTTTTCTTCTTGCTAGACGAAGAGGACGACGAGCTTTCCCCTCCCCCGTCACTCTTTCCGTTACTGTCTCCGTCACTCCCTCCGTCTCCGTATCCGTCACCTCCACCGTCCCCGGAAGAATCTCCGACACTTTCAACAGATCTTCCTTTGGAAGAGGATCCGCCATCGGAAGAGCTCGAGCTGTCTCCGCCGTCCGATCCGGATCCGGAGGAAGAGGAAGACGACGACCCGTCTCCGTTGTCCTTGCTCGACGATCCCTTCTTCCCCTTCCCTTTCTTCTTTTTCTTAGAAGACGAAGAAGAGGATTTGGAGGAGGAGGACGACGAGCCGTCTCCGTTTCCGTCAGATCCTGAGTCAGAGGACGAGGATGAATCGCCGCTACTATCCGCTGAAGAATCCGACGATCCAGAAGAATCCGACGAGCCTGACGAATCTCCTGACGAATCTCCTGAAGATTTTGAGGAGGAACCTCCACCGCTATCAGATCCTGAAGAATCTCCTGACGACTTGCTGCTCTTGGAACTTTCCTTCGATTTCTTTTTCTTCGAAGAGGAAGAGGAGGACGACGAGGAGGATGAAGAATCGCTGCCTGACGAATCGCCGCCAGACGACGACGACGAAGAAGAATCGGAGCTTCCAGAGGAGTCAGAGCTTCCTGAGCTCTTCTTTTTCTTCTTCCCGCCAGAGCTGGACGAACCAGAAGAGCTAGACGAACCAGAGGACGAAGAGTCGGAGTTCGAGGAATCGGAAGAGCTGCCGGAACTTCCGCCTCCGTCGCTTCCGCTACCGCTGTTTTTAGACGAAGACGAGGAGGAATCGCCGCCTGAAGACGATGACGATGACGATGAGTCGGAGCTTCCAGAATCTGACGACGATCCCGATGAGGAAGAGGAAGAGCTGCCGCCTGAATCAGACGACGAGGACGAAGAGTCGCCGCTGCCGCTGCCGCTACCGCTGCCGCTGCCGCTGCCGCTGTCGCCACTGCTGGAGCCTGACGACGATGACGAACTGCCGCTGCCGCTGCCGCCACCGCTGCCGCTGCCGCTACCGCTGCCGCTGCCGCTATCGCTGCCGCTGCCGCTGCCGCTGCCGCTGCTGCTGCCGCTGCCGCTGTCGCCACTGCCGGAGTCGGATGACGACGAGGCTAGTCGACGCGCGACAACTTCTAAATCCTCCTCCAATTTCTTCTGATCGTTAGGAATAAGGGATGGAAAAGTAGAAAAGGCCAGAAAAAGGCCTTGAGATTATGGGAATTGAAGGTTATGGTAACATAGAAAAATCCACTCTTTAAACAGATTCGCAGGGATGATGAAATATTAAAGAGTGCAAAAGCAATGCCAGTGGCTACAATTTGACGAAAGGTCAATTTCACTTCCATCGAAAAACCCAGCGTCCATGTTTGTACAAATCTTTGCTTCTGTCCGCTTTGATACCTCTCCGACTGATCTTGATGGCTTTTGTTACAAGGGCTCACCTCTGTCTCAGATATCGATGCCTGGCCATTCAACAATTGCCACGTGTCCTCGAATCCCAAGGCTCCTTTTCCATGTCTGCTGGCAACATCTGAACGGAACGCGAGACGAGGCGAACGCACGATAGCAGGATCGTCAGGAACGCTGTTACCAGCATTGTTATTATAACGAGGGGAACCGCTAGTCGGGGACGCACTAGGTTGACCCTTTCAGTCGGGTTCAATTGCTTCCAGGGGAATCTGCTAGTGTGATCGTCCCTCCATTTCACTGTTGTCGCGTGCCACGCACCACTACGGCCACCAAATCAGAGTCCAACTCAGGTACTCGGAGGGGAGGTCCAACCCTTCACGGAAACAAAAAAACTACTACTTCACGGCAGGGGGGAAAGTCCGTCCCCTGCCGCTGTAAATGATCAAGTGAAGGGCCGACACTATTTGGCTTCCACTAAGAAGACCCTATGTTTACCTTGGCTTAGTGCGGGAGTTGCGGCGTGCAGGGCAAAAACCGCGACCAGCAAAACAACAACGAGAGAGGACAGGGACTAGCCCTCCCGTTACCTTGACTTAGACAGACCCCTATGCAATGCTCACCTTGACTTCTGGCGGGAGTTGCGGCGTGGAGAAAACCGCGATGAGCAAAACAAGGAGACAGGACAGGGACTAGCCCTCCCGTTACCTTGACTTCGGGCGGGAGTTGCGGCGTGGAGAACGAGAATCACGACGAGCAAAACAAGGAGAGAGGACGGACAAAGGCCCCTCCATTTCATCTTGACTTAGACAGACCCCTATGCTTACCTTGACTTAGCGCGGGAGTTGCGGAGTGCAGGACGAGAACCGCGACGAGCAGAACAAGGAGAGTGGACAGACACAGGCCCCTCCCTCCTGCCTTCCCCATACTCGCAAACTCGGCTAATCTCATGACGCGTTGTATTTTACTCTTCTATTCCATGCCAAGGCGCCTTGAAAAAAGAAAAAAAAAAACCCGCCGAACGCGCTTCAAAGCAGGGGACGCTGACAGCGCTAACACGACCCTGTTTTGAACAGCCTATGCACTACCCCGATGCGACGAGGTGATGGCTGCTATCGACCGGTAGGAAGTAGGGTAAGGTGTGCCGTGAGACGTCGTTGGTTACGGAGAGCAGAAGCTCGAAAGCAAGAACCGACGGACGACGTAGAGAGAAAAGGGTCCTTCTAGGGCAAGACTTTCTCACGAACGTAACTAGCTCTGTGAGATCAGGTCTGTCGATCTATGACGAAGGACACAACTGCAATGCGTTTGGACGGAACAGACATAGCCAGGCAGAAGCAGCCCTTGCGCCACCCAAGTTGGTCTGACTGCAACAGAGGATCAGGCTGGTCGAGAGCCTGGTCAATTGCAAGGGCTGGGCGTGATTGGGGAAAGAGACCACACCACGTGCACGTGAAAACGCGTCGCGGGAAACGTGCACAGGGGCGAAGCCTACTAGCACGCCAAGGGTGCAGTCTGGGGGACCGCGCCACGTGAGGTGGAGGCGTTGCGGAGAGGAGCTACAATTGCGAGTGGTGGTTGTGAGTGGTTGTAGGCCAACACAAGAAGCAAGAGAATACAGGTAAGTACAGACAAGCTCCTGTGCGTGTGGAAGGGGCAATCAAGTGCTGGACGTGCAGAGCAGCAGCAGTGGGGGGTGACATTGGCTCAGCAAAGTGGGATCGAGGCGCGCATTGAGGGCTCGAATTTCGCGCTTCGGAAATGGTTGGTTGCTCTGGGCATGTTGTGCGTGCCATGTCAGGGCTTGCTGGGACTGCCATTCGCACGCTGCGGGGCTCGCGGTAAGCCTTCGGATTCAGTCAGCGCAGGTCTCGCCATAGGCGACGTTGCGCCAACGTGGCATACACCTCAACAAATGTAACATATCGTCGGTGTACTCCAACTACACTTTCGTACATCATGGGATATTCCCAAAAAAAGGATAACATGTTCTATATCCGGAAACTCAAAACCTTGGCGCGTGTCCTTTCGGTAGAACTGCGACTGGATGTGGAGCAGAATGTTTTATGAGGGTTTGTGATTTTTTTACAAGGTTCCAATATTGATTTCACGCTGAGGACCAATAGACGCAGGGTTTCATACACTGGCGACATACTCGAATTTACATTAAGATTTCCACCGGAATGCACATCACTTTAAAGCCCGCGGATAAAATAGCAGACCTGAAAACCACTTGAATTTGGTGCTTTAAAATCCGTCTAAGTATAGAATATAGGGCAGCTCTGAGCTCAAGCCTGAACAAGAAAAGTGCATCGTAACGAATTCTAGTCAAGCTTGCTGATTGGGGGAATGGCGAAAGAATTCGTTTTGCTGTTTGTTGCGACACGATGCGATTTGCACAAAAACACTGTGTGCATCGCACGGAGTTTCAATGACGGGTTTGGGCGAGAAGCTTGCGACAAGGAAAAGCAGTTGCTTTGTGACTCGGAAATTCAAGTGATTTCCAGATCTGCAATTCCGGAATCAGCTATTGTTCGTAAAAAATACACTGTTTTCGCAATTTCACTGTTCACGGAACCATGATTTCGGTCGCACGACGCATATTGCACTGTTCACCGAATGGCTTCGTGCAAAACTCACACCATACACTTATTAAAACGAAATGCTTCCGTTCTATTTCATTTACTCTAAGATCAAGGGTGCCAAGTTCTAGAGGAAATTCAGCAACCCTCTTGATTGCTACTATAGCCATGGGCTTTGAAGGGAAATTGACATATCATGACGCATAGCATACAATGGAATACGTATTCCACTTATAGGCGTACCTACCAGCAAACCACCATCAAGCTGTGAAGGAAAGAAGAAAAAACACAATGGGAAGAAGACAGGGTCAGATAACTGACGTGGAACATAATAATGCAGAATAATGACCACACGGCTTGGTTCGCTCAGAGACTAAAAACCTGAATTTGTCAACATGTGCACATTCAGCGGATTGACAGATTAAAAACAGTTGGAAACATCATTGCAAGCCAAGCCTTAAGCCACAGGAGAGATATGCTGATGTAAGATAACGTGGGTGCAGGAAGGAAGAAAGAGGGGAGGGGAGAGAGAGTGAGAGAGAGAGAGCGAGAGAGAGCGAGAGAGAGAGAGAGAGAGAGAGCGAGCGAGCGAGCGAGCGAGAGAGAGAGAGAGAGAGAGAGAGAGAGAGAGAGAGAGAGAGAGAGAGAGAGAGAGAGAGAGAGAGAGAGAGAGAAAGAGCGAGCGCTAGAGAAAGGGAGGGGTCGAGATGGCGATAGCTCAAAGCTAGATTATGCGCAGAATGATTGTTGAGTGGGTTCATCAACTGATCCCCTCAACTGCCCATTCCCCGCTACTCTGATCTTGCAGAACACTCATTCAGTTTACAGGATAAGGGCCCGTCTCTGAACACACTCGGTTCTGCGTACCCTGTTCGCACATGTCGATAGAGGCTAACGCACATGAGGAGGGCCATTTGGACGGAGGAAAGAAGCGCAAGCGGTTGGAACAGAGAGGAAGCATTGAAGCGTGAAGGCGGTTTTGAGAGCTCAGGAAGGTTAGACAACCAGATACGCATCACAAAAGTCAGAAGCAGAACTGGCGTTTACTGGTTGGGGTATCGTCACCGCTCTCAGAAGCAACAGGAAGATGGTGAGGGAGAGAAAAGAGCGAGAAGTGGGAGAGATACCAAACAAGAGGGAGGGAGAAGGAGAAAGAGATCGGGAAGGGAAAATAGCAGACGAGCGAGCGGGGAGGACTGAAAGGAGAAGAGTTCCATAATGGAATGTGCGCAGAATGATTGTTGATATGGGTTCATGGAATCATACCCCCAACTGCCCATTCCCCACGTGTCCACTCTAGCAAGACCACCTTCAGATAACAGACACTTAAAGCCTGGTACTGTACACAAAAGGTCTGCAGAGAAAGTTCTCGGATGCCACCATGCCATTTCAAAGGGTTGCGAGCAGGGCGACTTCGTGAGTTAACTTTCTGGGTTGACTAAAACAACAAAAGGCTCGTGATCGGCTCTGCCGACTGAAGCTGAGAACGAGAATCGTACTCGTTTGAAGAAACAAAACAAAAAAGAGAAGAGATTGAGCATTCTGAGAGAGAATCAGGTACATTGGCTCTCAGCTGCCTGTGTGTAGTCAACTGCTCCGACCAGCCAATCAGGGCGCACTCCACTTGCAAGGAGCCAACCCCAGCGGCACTAGGCTAAACCGCATCCCATACGCCGTCCTCCCTTCAGTTACACCCAGCAAGCGAGCCAAATCCATGGCTTGATTGCTGCTGAATGAACGGTCAGGATTGGGCTCGGGTTTGGCCGCCTGTGCTCTGCAGTGGCCGGTTACCTTGACGGCGTGGAGGCGAGGTCTGACGGCCAGACGTCGCATCAGACGGCACTTCCTATCGTCAGGTCAGAGTGTCATCACCGAGCCAATAAGGTGAGATTGTCTCAAATTCGGAAGCTTGAACCAAACCTGACCTAGCAGTGTGCCTCTAGGCTGAGAACAGAAGATCCAAACAATGCTAGACACGGTTAGCCTAATCATCTCTATAAGAAGATTGCGGGAAGAGATTTACCTCGCAGAGACGAACACTGCTGGCCCTTAAGAATTGCAGCAAGACCCGTTCAAGTGAATCCTGCAGCTGCGAAGAAACGAACGACGAACAGCACGGAGAACAGACTGGTGGCATCGAACACCGTTAATAACGAGATCGACATGTCAGACTGGTCATAAACTGGATCTAATAGGTGAGTGAAGCATGTTCAGATCCAGTTACCGGGCTTGGGTAAGTAAGGACACCGAGTTCGGAGGATATGGTAGGCTTGGAGGGTACACCTTGGAGCACAGGAGCAGGGAGGAGAGATTTCGAGCACCTTCGACACTTTGAGCCCGAGGAGGAGGCAGGTTGTACCTAGGGGTTTCCACAGGTCTTTCAAGGAGATGGTGGTATACCACAGCACTTTCTCTCAAGCTGTCCTTTATTCATTTGTGATGGGAATGTAGGTCTCAAACAAAGTACATGATGTGTGAAAACGAGACCGAAATATAACGCGACTATTTATCAGCAGTACAGCACCTTCCACAGCCACAATTCCCAATCAGATCGGATCGGACTTGACAGCGAGGCTTTCGACGTTCGGCGGCCCAGCTTCATGCGCGACTCGAGCTTCCGACATTACTGCATCAAGCGGGAGGGTCGGAAAAAGGCCATACAATGCTGCCGACGTGTCTGCATATCAACGGTTCTGAATTCGGATTGGTCACTAAATACTTCCAGGGTAGCGAAGAGGTGGCCTTTCGCCCAACCAGAAGACGATTACTGTCACCTCGTCATCCTTCATGCGTGCGAGCTGCGCTGGTTGTTGCGAACGAGCTGCGACACGGAGGTTTTCCTGGAGATTTGGAGCCTGTGTGATGTTACCACCCAGCCTCGTCAGCTTCGTGAATGCACCTCCACATCGATGGCGGCAAGCGAACTTTGATGACTATTCAGCTTCGTTAAGCCGTCCGATCTCAATGTAGTCGCCCATCCGACGGTTTCGATGGGTCCAAAACGGGAAAGGGGCTTCCCCCCGTACCAGCGTCTGGATCACCTCACCTCACCTTCTCCTCACCTCACCTAGCCCAGCTTCGTGCGGGGGAAAGGCAGCACGGGGGAATGAGTCTGTCAAAAGGGACCACCTTCCTGCATAAATGCTGTGCCAACCGCGTCACACACGCGTTCGGTTCGGTAATATGAATTTTGGTGGGGTGATAAGGGGTACGTCGAGGTGCAGCGTGTGCTGAGAGTGTATGTTGTTGGGCTTTGGTGCATGAGCAAGCAGGGCGCGCTCATGTGCTAGCTCTCGGCCTCTCAGTTCACCTCACCGATCACCGAGTACAAATGCATGCATTCTCCCACTTTCCTAAACCACCTGTCACCATAAGCCATTAGACCATTTCCTGACGCACTCTGCATCCAAGCTTCTTAGCATGCTGTTTCGGGAAAATCACAGCCTTCCAGTCTTCTTCACCGTCGCGGCGACCAACTTCGTCTCCCTTTAGATTCTCCTTTGGAGTCTACACGCAGCCTGAATTACCTACGACCAGCAGCCGACTCGTTCCCGCTGTCTACACCAGATAAGGAACCTCTTCGCAGCATATCGTAACGCCAGGATGGAGGCAATGAGGAGTCACTCATCAATGTCCGCTCCAGATCTCTTGGAACACACACCAGAGGAAACGTCCGACCTGCCATTCCCAAGAGAAGGCCACTCCGTCGCATTCGTCTACGGCACTTTGAAAGAGGGTTTCAGCAACCACTGGCTGATGCAGGAGCTGATGCAATCAGGCGACGCCATCCGGATAGGCACCGCTCGGACCGTCCAGAATTACCCTCTTATCTGCGGTCCGTTTCAGGTTCCGTTTCTTCTACGTCTCCCCGGCAACGGTCACCGCGTCTTCGGGGAGATCTACGAAGTGAACGACAAAGCGGTTGCCAGGCTGGACATTCTAGAAGGTACCGACCGCGGTCACTACGTACGGCTCCCGCTCTCCCTCTCCGACCTCGAAATTAGGGACGACTATCAAATGGACGGAAAGCACTGCCATTTGCGGGAGGAGATTAACTACGACGTGAAGTTCACCGCTATTGCGTACTTCGCAGGGATGGATCACACGCCGGGATTGGCCATGGGGGAACCGATTGAGTCGTTCGACGCTCGTGCAGCGGCGACTTACGTTCCGAGACGAGAGAGGCCGGCGAATAAGACGTTTTTGGAGCATGTCCACGCGTGGATTCAGGAGCGGCGGTCATTGGTCGAGGCGACAGAAGAGGCGTACCGCTGGGCTCTACCTGTTCAATAATCGGGCGGGCTCAATGTATAGGTCGTTGATACATTCTTTATACTTGATTTGCTTGTTTAATGCTCAGTTCCTCCTAAATTGCTGAGTGTTCTTCGCCTTGTCCTCCATCTAATATATTTCAGATCCTTCTAGGAGTCGTGAAGCTATCATAGTTGTGCAGAAACCCCCCTTAGCGTCGTGAAGCAATAAAAAAACGCACGCCTTAAATGTGGTAGATGCTTCTTGCACGAAAGCCACATACTAAGATTCCCGTGAGTTTCGCGAGCTTTTTACTAGCACAAGGGACGAACGGTGAAACACTGTGTGGGCAGATTTCAACCGATATGTGTGACGTTAGTGACTACTTTTACCGTATTCCCCCGGATATACGCCCCTAGGTGCTTATAGGGATTATAGTCAAAATTTTGGGGGTGCGTTTAATTGGATATTTTTTATATGGCACGGTGCGTTAAAAACGTTCTTAAGGAAACTTTTGAAACGAACATGAACATGTAGCTAGAACAATTTGCAATCGAATGGAATGCTCCCAAACGGGAACAACCAGAGAAGTCCCGCCAAAATCGCTTCCTAAACGACTGACGCGTCAGCCAAGCAGCACGTTCGCTGCAGTTTGCCAGCGTGCAGGCTAGCGTGGGCGATCCTGGCCATCCGTTCTCTCATCTGACATGGCAGCAGAGCTTTGCTGACCATACCTTCGATGAGTCGGAAGGTCAGGGGTCGATTTTGTGTGACGAAGTGATTCCTCACGTAAACTTGATGCGAAATGTACAGTCAACATAGTCAGTGCGAGATTCCGACGGGGAAAAGGGGGGTGCGTATAGGGATTAGAATCTGGAAAATGGGGGGGTGCGTATCATTGGCACATCCGATATGGCACCCCTCCGGATATACGCACCTGTTAACGTAGAAACGAATGATTACTAGAGGTGGAAACCTAGAACAAATACTAGTTGGTTGTACTCACTAGAAGCATACCTCAGTCTAGCCTATAACTTCTACATAGATAATATGTATAAGTTGACACACCCCCTAGGCTAGACAAGGGGTGAAACTAAACAAGAAGCAAACAGCTCAGGGCGGCACTACTAGTCCAACCACTGAGGCAGGGGTCTGGAGACAAGTCAGCAAGAATACAACCAAAACTGAAGCAAGCCAGGGTGGCACTACTAGTCCAGCCACTGGAGGTAAGGCCACAAGGCCAGTCTGACAAGCATATATAATAGAGAGTACACAATCAGGATCCTAACAGGGGAGCAGCTGTAGGAACAAGACCAAGCTGTACACAGTGCCGCTGATGATCTTTAGGCGCAAGCGCCTTAGTAAAGATATCAGCTGTGTTGGCACCTGAGGCCAAGTGAACTACGCGGGCCTGGCGGCGCTGCTGTAGCTCGCGCAGGAGGAAGTACCGCAGCTGGATATGCTTCGCTCTGCCCTCAAGCCGAGGCTCCTGACACAGGAGTATCATGGCCCTGTTGTCAGCGTACAGGACCGGGGCAGAGCTAGGCCGCTCACCTAAGTCTGTGAGCAAGAAGGTCAGCCAGCGGAGCTCCTGTGCCGCCATGGCACCAGCGTAGATCTCAGCCTCACAGCTGGACTGAGCAACAGACGACGAGCGAGTGGATCTCCAAGAGATAGCACCCGAACCAAGGCTGAAACAGTAGCCCTGCGACGACCTGAGCGTCTCAGCGTCGTCTGCCCAAGAAGCGTCTGTGTGCCCAGTAAGGACCACTGGCCTGCGTCCTCCTAGCACTAACCCCATGCCTGATGTACTAGCAAGATAACGCAAAACCCTCTTAGCGGCAGACCAGTGCTGAGGTCGGTGTTTGCCTGTAGCCACAAAGCGAGCCAGGATGCTGAGAGGGTATGCGAGATCTGGGCGAGTGCAAGTCATCAGGTACATGAGGCAACCCACCAGCTCTGCGTAGGGGCCACTGGGCTCTACTGGCTCCTCAGGAACGGGAGCAGAGAGCCCATGGTCTACGGGTAGAGGTGTGGGCTGTGCGGAGGAGAACTGAAGACCGAACCTCTGAAGGACCTGACGCACCAAGTGTGACTGGGTCAGAGTGATGGTGCGTGCTGCTCTGTCCCTAGAGATCTGCAGGCCAAGATAGCGACGCAGCTCTCCAAGGTCAGTGCAGGTGTGTCTCTTCAGCAGCTCAGCCTTCACAGAGGCCAGTGCGTCCCTGTCAGGAGTAGCGAAGACCAGGTCGTCTACGTAGACAAGGATGTAGAACGGAGTCTGGCCGGAACGCACAAACAGTGAAGGGTCAGCAGAGGACGGAAAGAACTGCAGGTCTGCTAACGTGGCACGTAGCGTGTCGTGCCACTCGCGGGGAGCCTGACGCAGGCCGTAGACCGGGCGCCTGAGAAGCCACTGGGTCCCAGGAGGGAAGGTACCAGTGAAGCCCTGTGGTCGGCGCAGGTAGACCTGCTCGTGTAGGCTGCCCTGAAGAAAGGCAGTAGAGAAGTCGAGAGAGTGAAGCTCGTAGTCACGCTGTGCTGCTACGTGTAGCAGCGCCCGAAGAGTGGTCATCTTCGGGGTCGGGGCGAAGGTCTGGAAGAAGTCAACCCCCTCGCGCTGACTGAAACCTCTGGCCACGTAGCGCGCCTTGAAGACAGGCGGCTCTCCAGGGGGGCGCTTCACCTTGAAGAGCCACCGACCATCGACTACGTTCACCCCAGGCGGGGGAACTGCGTCGACGTAAGTGCCGGTGGATCTCCAAGATGCCATCTCCTGCTCCATGGCAGCTATCCACTGAGAGGCCCAAGGTCCCGAGGTGGCCTCAGCGTAGGTGCGAGGGGTCGGGATGTCGAAGGCGTCTGGGTCACCCTCAGGGACTAACAGCATGGAGCAGAGATGGGGAGCAGCCTCGGAAAGGAAAGCCAGCTCGTACTGCCTGTCCTCTAGGACGTCACTGCCAAGGGCAGGAGCACCCCCGACGGACAGAGGACGGGCAGGGTCAGAGACCAGAGCGGTAGCGTAGTCAAGGCGGCGGGTAGAAGCGAAGTCAGCGACAGCAGCGACAAGCGCGTCAAGGCGCGAGACAGGAACAGCAGGGTCGGTAACAAGAGAGGCAAGGACCCGAGGGACAAGGGGACGAGCAGCACGGAGGTAGTCAGAGAACGGAGGAGGTGCAACAGCAAGGGACGAGGGAGGAGGGGACGGGAGGAGGGGAGGACGAGACGAGTGGGAACGGAGCAACATAGGGTGGGTGGGCAGGACAGGAGAGACGGGACGAGCACGGGAGGGACGGCGAGCCCAAACGTGAGACGGAGGGGTAGGGTCAGGGGACAGCGGAGGAGACACAGGAGGGGAACGAGGAGGAAGACGGGCCGGAGACGAGTCTGGCGGCGGGAACACAGGACCGTAGACAGGGAGGTCAGGAGGCGGTGGGGGAGACACCGGCGCGCGGTCCGGGGAGGGAAGGCCGAGCAGGCGGAGAGCGGAAACCGGCGGCGACGGCTGCTGTGGCGGCGACGACGGCTGGGCCGGAACTCTCGGACCAGTAGAGGCAGAACGACCGTCGGCAGAACACTCAACAGCAGCACCCCCAGAACCAACACCCCAAGAGCGAGAACCCCCTCCAACACCAGCGGCACCCCCAGAAGCCGCAGGACGAACACCCTCCTCCACACCAGCACCCCCAGGGGCCGAGAGCAGCGGCGGCAGTGGCGGCGACAGCGGCGACGGCTGCGGCGGCGACGGCGACGGCGGCGGCAGCGGGGTCGGCGACTGCGACAGTGGGGGCGGAGGCACTGGGGAAGGGGGACGCGGCAAGGACGGACCGGGGGTACCACCAGAGTCAGCAGACTCCTCAACGGGGACAACCGACGGGAGGGGAGTGACGTGGGAGACACCAGACGGGGCAGGACGAGGCGGGAGAGGGGCAGGGGCTACCGGGGGAGAGGGAGCAAGGAAAAGGGGGGGGGCAACTGGGAGACCTCGGTGAGGGAAGCGGCGGTAGAAGGAGACGGACTCGTCAAAGGTGACGTCACGAGAGTGGAGGAAGCGGTGAGACGGCGGGTGGTAGAAAAGCCAGTCAGACGAGTCCAGGGGGAAACCGAGGAAGACACAGGGGACAGTGCGGGCAGTGAGCTTGTCCGTGCCAGAGGCACGAACGTGAGCAAGGCAGCCCCAGACGTGGAACGCAGACGCGTCACCGGGGGACCCGGTCCAAAGGAGGGTCGGCGAAACCTGCGGCCGCTGGGAGCGTGGCCACAGGTTAAGCTGGTGAGCCGCGTAGCGAACAGCGAACGGCCACAGAAAATGGGGGGCATCGGCATGGATCATGGAGGTACGGGCGACCTCCATGACCAAGCCGATGCGGCGCTCAGCAACCCCATTCTGCTGTGGCGAGTCCGGCAACGTGTACGACTGGGTGATGCCCTCCGCACGACAGAACTGTCCAAGCCGACCAGAGGCGAACTCGCCGCCACGGTCGGAGTGGAGACACAACACGGGGAGACCGCGGTGGAGACGCGCAGCTACAACCCACGGGAGAAGAACGTCGGGCACGTCGGCCTTCCGCTCCAGGGGAAACACCGTGGTGTAGCGCGTGTAGTCGTCAACGAGCACAAGGAAGTAGCGCTCACCGCGCGGTCCGGGGACGGGGGCAGGGCCCCAAACGTCCAAGTGCAGGGTCTGAAGGGGGGCAGTAGCAGGACGCAGCGAGGAGGAGTGAGGAGCACGGCGGAGCCGACCCTCGACGCAAGGCGTGCACGGTGGCGCAGTCGAGGGAGGAAGGGCAGGGAGCGACGCGGGGAGACCTAAGACAAGACCGTGCTGGGACATGTGACGCAGACGCGGGAGAGCAGGGTGACCTAAGCGGTGGTGCCAGAGAAGGGAGGGGTGAGTGAGGGACCGACACGAGCAAGCTGCAGCGACCTGGGAGGACGCACCAACCGGGGGGGAAGCGGTGTGTAGGGTAAACAGACCGGACACCGGGTCCCGGGGGAACGTCGCAAGGGGGGAACCTGAGACAGCCTCAGAACAGACAGCGAACCGCTCGTGCCCGGGGAACGTGGTGGTGACGCCGAGGTCCTGGAGACAGCCGACACCAACCAGGTTCCTGGAGAACGAGGGAACGTGGAGGCCAGTAAGGGAGCCCGAGGGAACTGCCGGACAAGGAAGGGACGTAGAACTGCGCGCGACGACCGGACCCGCAGAGGGGTCAGCGAGAGAGACAACAGCAGGTGCAGCAAGCGGCGTGAGCGTGGAACGGTCGCGGAAGAAGCAGGCAGAAGCACCAGAGTCGAGAGTGAAGGACAGCGACGCAGTGGCAGAGGCCGCGGACGGAGCCGGTGCAGCGACTAGACTAGGCAACCTAGGCAGTCCTACGCCTGTCGCAGCAGGGGAAGCTAAGCTACACAAGGGTGAAACACCTAAACTAGAGTACACAGGGTAGTAAGATACAGCAACACTA